GGTACCGTGTTCCTTTTTAATCGACTCGGCCCACGAGTACGGATCAGAATTACTTACGATCAGTTCCCCGAACTGACCTGAAAGATAAGAGTTGGCGCACGTTACGTAGCTGCACATCTGCCCAATCTTCGTCCACGCTGTTTTGAACAGTTCCGAATCGTACATCGAGGACGACTGGCGGCGCACCTTGCACGTTGCACCTTCCTTCGTTGTCGACGTCGGTCACCGTCAATCGAGACCCCTCGATTCCCTTTACGCGATCGTCTCTGGTTTCGGTGACATCGTTCGACGGTTTCGCGCCGCACGCGTTCGATCGCGCGTCGACTTCGACGTCGCGGAGAGATCCTGCGAAAGCGAAGCTGCGAAGATCGGATCGAGGCTAATCGACGCGCAGTATTCGCGTCCGCAGAGTTTATTTCCTCCTGTCCCCGAATTCGAAGGTCAAGATCCGTTGCGAGTCGGACCTGCTCAGGGACCGTGGCATTTTACTACGTGATTCGCTGCGCGATCCGTCGCTCGATCGGTAAACGGTCGGATCGCCGAAAGTGGATCGAGAACCGTTCGTCGCGTTGGCGGGCGGCGATCGGGAAAAGTAACGGCGACGCGAGACACTGTTCCGAGAGAGCAGCCGACGAGTATGTGTAAATAACTAATTGTTATCCTTGACTCTGCATTAAATCCTGCTACATCGAAGCGGCCTTCGTGCTCCCGACAGATTACGTCACCGAAGGCGTACAACCAACTAGCGACTGCCGCGTGCGGTGCACACGATTCCTACGCAAACGAATCTGAAATACTGGGCTGAGCCTCGACTCGATATTTCAAAAGAGTCTGCACCGTTCTCACAATCGTTTTCCTCGCTCGTCTCGCGCGGAGTCATGACATAGAACCGTCGAGACTCGATGTCGTTCACTCGTGAACTTACAAACGTTCGAAACACGTTCACGAGTTCGAGGAAATGTGTCGATAAGCGACATTCGTTTCGTGCGTTATCGAACGTGCGCCATACATTATCGCGGCTTGCTAATCAGCGGTCTAAAATGCTTCGGTAATGTATGTCGAAACTGTCCTTCGTTCGTCTTCCTCGATAGTCTAAAGCGTTTGAAACGTTTCGGTGATCGTTTATCGAGAAACAGAGGGAACATGGGATTGATACGCGGTGAAGTTTTTCTACTTCGACCCCTTCACCCCTTAACCGTTCGATCTGCGCGCGTCGCGCGGTTCGCGAGGATACACCACGGACGAGGACAGGGGCACGCACTCACTCCTGATTCGCACGAAGCAGTTTTCAGAAATACGGCTTTCCGTATCGACGGATCCTCGTCTGCGCGAGTCGAGTCGGCTTTATTCGGAGAAGCTGATTCTCGCCTCGCCCTCGAAACGGCTCGTTAAGTCGCGAATGAACTTATACCGAGTACGGTCTCTATCGATAACTGTCCGCGCACGTCCGCGATCGCGACTCGGTGACCCTCTAACCGAGTGACTGAACGATCGACTAACTGTTCGTTGCTCGGACGAGCTCGATCGGACACGACCGAGTCCGACTAGATGACACGCGTTATGAAAATAGGGGGAGAACTCGATGCGACCACGCGTGACACGCGAAAGCACGCTCGTTTCTCGTTTGCATGACGAGACGGACGTGCCGCTTACCTACACGCCGCTTGCCACCGCATTGTCGCTCGTAATGTCGCAATAACGGAAAGATACTACTTTCTAAAGATAATCTCCATCTTTCACGTTTCATTCCCTGATTCGTCACCCGCCGATCGGCCGCTCTTTGTTCTATACCCGCCGGTTCATAATAAAATGCGCGTGCTGGCGGATGCCGAACGAAAGTCGGCGCGATTCGCGCGGCTCTTCGTGAACAATGAGCATCGTTGACCGTTGGCCGTTGGCCATTTGCCGTTTGCCATTCGCCACTCCCGATCGTCATAGCGGTGGTGGCAACCGGGTGACGCCATCGATCCACGGTTGCACGCGCTCTTCGGGTAACTGTATCTCCGATCAAAGCATGAGCGGCATGATCGCGCCAGCGCGTATATTCTACGCACGAACAATCGAACCGTCTAAACGGCCGAGAAGCGTACGGTTTCCCCCGAAGCAGCAATATTTTCCGGGATGCGGCAACAGGCAAGCGGACGATTCGATTCGCGGCAGCGAACGTTAGACGCGATACGCGAGATCGATCGGCGGAGGTCCGTGAACGATAGGACTACCGACCTCGGGGATGGAGAGGCGAGAAAAGCGAAAGGAGCTGCCATAAGTGGCACGGCCGAACACGCTCAACAATGAAATTTTAGGGTAACACTGCCGTACATCCGCGCAGTAACCGATTCTAAGGAAATCTTAAGATACCGCGAGAATCGCACATGTCGAATAACTTTCTCCTTTAGAAAAATCGTCGCTGACATTCAGTTTCGAGACAATCGCGAAATTCGAGCGCGATCGCGCGGCTGTGTCGTCTCATGGACGCGCCCACGTATGAAGAATGCAACGTAGTGGTAGCAACAGTTTTTCGCGATTATCTCGGGACAACGAACGAAACGCGATGCAATGGGACGAAGTGCGTGAAGTGTAATAGCGCTGCGATCTTCACGGAAAGATTCGAATAAAGTTTGAAAGCGAGATACGCCGCAAATGATTTCGATCCACTCGATCATTTTGCGCCCGTCTTCAAACTCCTTCGAAGGAGTTTCACTGGAACGGATTTTGAAAGGTCGTGACGCTCCAGCGCGTCTCGAAAAACAGTCCTTTCGCTTTCCAAAGGAAATTCCTCGTTTCGATTCTAGAAACGAACCTGCCGGTCCGCAATAGATTTCGTGGACTCCGTTATTCGCGAGAACGACGCGAGTGCACGGCATTTCCACTTGCTCGTTGGACAGAATGATTTCAACGATGCGACACACGCTTGATACGCATCTTGCTCGAGTACCTGTGTAGAACCTTCTGCAGAGATTACGAGCCAATAACCCCGCGTCGCGTTGCATCGCATCCGATAACAGATAGCAGTGGCATGACAACGCTCTCCTCCCACCCCTTCGTCGTTCAGACAAGAAAATCGCACCACGCGATGTTAATACCGCGATCATGCAAACGGGAGAAACACGTGAGCGAACAGAGGCTGCAACTGACGACTCGATTAAGGAACAATCGATTTAATAATTCTATTCCCCATTGTCGCTATTCCTGCTTCACCCGTGACGATTTCACAGTATTCCGAATGCACGAAATCCAACGTTTCCTACGTACTTCGAATTTTGAGTTTCGCGTCGTTTCAAGATCCCCGATATTCAGAGCAAAACGGTGCATAATGGATAACGGTTCGAAAATCCAAGAGCGTAACCCAAGCTCCAGTTTGTGCGTGAGTCGAAACTCGCGCTACAGCTGCGAACATCGGTATCGATCGATCGAATCGTACGCGATAACGCGAAGCGCAATGAATCCCTCGAAGATCGTTCGGTGAATTGTTCGGCGCGTTCGCATCGCGCGATTCGCTGGTAAAAAATGGGAACGGCACACGACGCACAGAAACGACGCGTCCAGGCGTACGTCGGGACCAACCAGAACGGAACGATCGGGACGTTGCTGGTTATAAATAACGGCCTTATGTAAGCTGTTTTTTTCTTTTGTTAGGCTAATTAGCAAGTCGAGTAACGAAACGGCATTGTCGAGGTGGAAGATCGTCGGTGGCCGCGACACGTTGCTCCCGATTGCGAGTTTTCTCGTGGGTGGCGAATGCGGACCACGTAACGGGTATTTGCTCGCGAGTAGCTGTGCGGCTAATCAAACGCGGGGAAGAAATCGCGACTGCCCACCCAACGTTTCCCTCCCTTTTCCCTCCGATTCGCTTGCGAGAGGAGGGTCGGACATAGAAATCTGTTTTCGAATGGAACCATACGCGCGTACCACGTATCTAGAATTGAAAAACCTTCGTGGCTCTTTTGCCAATGGTCCTCCGTTTTCGAAGAGAGCCACTTTCAACCCTTCGCGAACGAACGTCGACATTTCAGCGAAATGAAATGGCTGTGTTCGCAAGACTAAGTCAACGAATGACTTGATTACTCGAATAGCAAGAAAGCGCGTTTCCTTTCTTTCTACTGTCTCAGCGATTGACGTATAATTAAGTTTGTATGTTATGGTAATTAGACGGTTAGACGCCTACTTAACAAGATACAGCAGTAGCGCGGTTCAGTTTTCCTCTGTGTCTCTCCTTTGAATTGCAACCTCTAATTAACTAGTATTCTATTATTCTATTATTATTCTATTATTATCATCAACCCTCTATCACAGTGACCCGCAAACTTAAACCTTATTTTCCTTGAAAAGGACCATTGTCGAAAGAGCCACGAGGGCTATTTCTAGATACGCGCTATATACAAGGTGTCATTCAAAGAGTGTCGTGCCCTCTCCTCGTGAGTCGAGATTTATCCGAAGGTGAATCGTCCGTTCCGTTTTCGAACAGCTGTACAGTAGGTATATACCCATACACAAAGTTCCATATGAACAGGAACACGAGTGGGAGGAGGGGCGGGAGTGGGAGTGGAAGCAGGGATGCGAGTAGGGGCGAGAATGGCGGTGGGAAACGAAAGAAAAGGCACTGCGGAGTAAGAAATTTTGGTTGCGCGGCGTGCACGGGACTCGCATAATTGTAGAGGGGAGTACGGTGCACGGAGGAGAATGGAATGGAGTAAACGGTTATTAGAAATTCCGAGGCACGCCGTTGCCAGCGGCAATCGCGACCTGGTTCGCGCACCAAGTCTAATGTTTATTTATCAAGTTTACGGTTCGTCCTCTTTCCGGCCTAGTTATCGTGTCGCCTCGCTACACTTGTCGCCGCCCTCCAATCTCAGGAATAATCTTCTTTCATTGTCGAGGAGCACCCGTTCGTTTGAGGAACGAACGCCGCCGAACGCGTACGCTCGGAAAGACAAAATATGTTTGCAGCCACGCGTCGGGACACTACGGTATCCCTGGGGCTGGAGGAGTCATCGATTTACCTGATTTTCCCAACGGTGGTTGTCCGAGCCTGCTGAACCACCGAAGGAACCTTCTAGCCGTGGTAGCCGGGGGTGGCCTGCAACCTTCGAGTATGACGACACCATTGTTGTTGTTGCTGTGGTTGTGGTTGTTGATGATGATGTTGTTGACGTTGTTATTGGCGCTGTTCACGTTGTTAATGTTGTTGCTGTTGCTGTTGCTGCTGCTGTTACTGGTGCCGCTGCTGCTGCTGCCGTTGCTGTTACTGCGACGACGGTGGTGATGGCGGTGATGGAGGTGATGATGAGTATGGTTGTAATTATGATGGTGGTGATGGAGGTTGTTATTGTTCGATGATGAATGTTCGGAGGACGAAGTTCTGCTGTACGGCGACATCCAAGCTGTGGTCGTGGTTTGAATGGTAGCAGTTTTAACGATAGGAATAGAACTGGTTATGTTGGCCGGATGCGGCGCCCAGTCTTCCGACGCGACAGGCATTTGTCTCGTCCTCTGGTCGGACGAGTCGAAAACAACCCCGCAAAATGGGAAAGTCATTCAGCGGCGTCCACCTTTCGGCGGAACAGCGATCGCGTTGTATCCTGAACCAGTTCGTCGCATTGTCGCGCGGTTCTCCGGAGAAAAATGGACACGTCCACCGGCCGAACGTGCAACGAAATTATTCGTTCGAATTACGCCTCGCGCGGCACGGTAAATCACAGCACAGCAAATCACAGCACAACACGGTACGGAACACTACGATGCGCTATGCTCTTATCCTCTCTTCTTCCTCTCCTCTTCCCACTTGTATTCGAATTTCGTAATTTCCCAGCAGATATCGACGACAATCTTCGGAGCTTGTCTTTTAAACTCGACCAGCGATACGTAAGAGGTACAGTGAAAATGAGGAAGGAAAAACACGGAGGAGAGGGAGGGAGATAAAAAGCGACACGGATACGCGGTTTGGATAAGGTTCGCGTTAGAAGTGTTATCTACACCGCTCGGATGTTTGCTCCGGTAGCCGCTCCAACGGTCACGTGCTTTTTCGAACTTGTTGCGCACACCACGCGAACCACTTTCCGTGATCCGCGCCACGTATTCTAAAGGCAACGACAGTCGCGCGATCGATTATTCACGGCCGTGGCTATACCGTTTTCGTCTTCGCTGTGTGTCGTCTTCGCTGTGTGCCCCCGCCGCGCGTGTGCTCACCGTTGACCGCGCGATCCTGCGATCGCTTTTACATCCATGTTTCGCAACGTGTCTCGTTCCGATCGACGTCAATTCACCGCGTACAACCTTATCGTTCGCAGTAATGGAAGGAAAGATACCGATTCGTTCCGGAAATAGATTCGATAACGATCGTCCGTCTCTCCTCGCGGCACACTTATCGTCGAACGTGCTGTTCCACGTAGCGTCGTTTACGTCCGGATCACTCGATACGTTACGCGTAACGAGGCGATCGAACGCGCGATCGACGAGCCCGTGGACTACCGGGAGTTTAGATCGCGACTCGACGCGTTCGAAGGGGTTGCGACAAACAACGAACGGTCGGTCGGTTTCACGGTTTCGGGAACTCGGAGCGAGTAGCCTTGCGCACGCGCGCGCGCGCGCGGATCGTAAGCACTTCCTTAAGTAGGATTATTGCACTCTGTCCTACTTAGCCCGATCCGATCCAAGTTCGCGATTAACGGTTTCTGATGGAGCAACTCGCGCACCTCGCCTCGCGAGCCTCGGCCGTCCGAACTGTTGTTCTATCGCGCGAATCGTCACGCGATTGGCCAACCGCGACCAAAATAATTCTTCCGTTCGACGATTGCACAAGTATTCTTAGCGACTAACCAACGGCGACGATGCGACGAGGTACGTTTCGAGATCGAGGTTGATCTTGGCTAGTCGTATCGGCGAGCGTAGCTCGGTCGGTCACGTAGTTGCTGCATTGTCCGCGCTTCGACGCGCTGTCGTCAGCAAATCTGTCTTCCTCGTCTTCGTCTTCGTCTACGTCCTCGTCGTCGTCTTCGTCCTCTTCGTCCTCGTCCTTGTTCACGCAACTCGAACGTCGGCGATTCGGCGCATTATCCTTTGCTCCCTTTCCGCGTGATACCCTTCGAACCACTCGCAAGGCGCCGACAGGTCGATCGACACGCGTCTACAGGTACTTGTCACCGTGTACTCACTCGTGGAAACACGGCGCGAGAGGTTACGCGCGATTAACCACCGTTTAACCCATCTTCGGGATCACCCGAATCGCGTGGACGTCGCGAGCGAGAATGTCAGCAGGATCGACGCACGAATCCGGGAGCACACTCGAGTCTGCGATTTCAGTCTAGTCTCCGATCGCCACGACCACTCCTTTCGATAACACGGTTCTCCGTGGTGCTCTGCCGCTCTCCACTGTCTACCGGTAGTGGCAGCGGCAGCGGCAGCGGCAATCGCCGTTCTATCTTTCCCTCTCTCCCTCCTGGCTTGGTTTCGGTGTTGGTCCCGCGCGCGCTCGTGCACGCGTATATACCTTCGTTGCCGACATGCCAACGCCGCGTGACACCCGCGTTCTCACACCATCGCGCCGCTACGTCCTCGCTACGTTGCCCCACCAAAGCCGGTACTTTTTCTTCGGTGAACTCGCTCGCGCGTTCGCCGCTTTGAAACCATTTCATCGTCTTTTCTTTCCTCCTTCCACTTTCCGCTTTCCACCTTCCGCCTTGTTCGCTCTCGCGTTTATCCCCCTCCCCGGGCCGACCACCTCGTTCGCCATAAATACATGCTCGAAAATGTCGAAACGTGAACACGCCGTTCCGTAACGCGCGCTAAGAAGAAGAGAAAGAGAGACAGAACAAGGAGAGAGAAAAAAGAACGTGTACACGTACCTACGTACACTATCCTATCCAAATGCTCACGAAATTCCGACGACCGCAACTCCGTTACCGAAATGCGTGTGCCCTGCGACGATGTTGGGTCGTCTCGCTTTGTCCGGAGCGCACGGTGTCGATCGCGAGCTGAACAACAACCTCTAAATCCGTTTCAATGTTTCGGGAAACGCACGTCCGCGCGGCGTTCCTTCGCGAGCCGTCATTTTATTTCGAAACTTTCTCGATTGTCCTGCGTTCCTCCGAAACATTCAACCGGTTCTCAGCTGATGTTTCCACGGTATGCGATTCGACCGTGCAAGAAAACCGTAGCAAAGAGGATCGGAGGACGGAGAGGAGAAGGGAGAGCGCACTCGCCTCAGCTGACGCATCGCGACTGACCGGAGCGCACCCTCGCGAGAATGCCGGCTAAACGCCCCCGGTTTCCCGGTGAACCGATTCAATGGTTCCGAGACTTCCCAGCCATCCTCGACCCCTTTAAGATCTCGCGAGGGAAGAACGCTAATGCAACGATGCTGATTTTCATGAATTTTTGAAGGCTGATGGTACACAGGAAACTATCGACTCGCAAGAACTCATTAAAATCGGCGCCAACGCATTGGCGTCCTTCCCTCGTTAGCGTTTCTCCTCGCCTCGCGTGCGATGATTGCACGATACCTCGCAGTACGGTTTCCGCGCTCCATTTGCAAATAAAAATTCTAACCCAGACTCCGTTCGGAGACCACCGTGCATCTTCCATCGATGTACCTCGTTCCTTTCGGAGCAAGTGTCGACGGAACGACTCTTCCTTCGCACCTCGAGTGTCATTCGGAACATCGTTGGCGTTGAAAATGGAAAGTCGCGTTCGGCAGTTGTATTTATAATATTATTCGAGTGAGAACCGTAACCGCCCGTTCCAAAGACGAAGTAAAAACAGAAAGCGTGTCCGACCGAGTTCAGCGAGAGCTTTGCATTCCCCCGAGCATCCTCGTTGTTTCCTACACGCTGCTAATCTCTCAATCGCAACATCGCTCTAGAAAAACAAGCAGATATCTGCGGGCGATACGCTTATCCGTTATCCGTTCGCAAATTTCTGCGTATAAGCGACCGACTCGATTTTCTTCCCTCTCATCCTCGCGAACAATTTGCTGCGAGAGTTCACATTTCCCCCGATCGGACTCGTACGCGGGTGAACTTATTTAGACTGAGGCTCTCGCGATGGAGGTCGTAACGTCCAGATGTCTACTAGCCGAGTACGGTTCTTGTAATTAATCGTAAAACGAGTAGACGCCACGGCGAAGCGATCTAGGTGCTTCCCATGCAGGAATAGAGGCGCCACCGGGGTTCGAAGATTTGTGCAACGCGTAAAGGACGGTAAACGCGCTCTCGTTATGTATAGATTCTTCGGAAAAGTTCGTTTCGAGTAATCGGAAGATAACGGACTCGTACTTTGCTCCTGGTACAACTATCTTCTGTTCAGTCGCATCGCGTGCCCGAACAATTGATTCGCATGCAACGGGCAAGCCGCTCTACCGTGAAAGACGAACGTTCAAACAAGGCTGATAGAACCATCGCATCGTTTTTTTCCTCTTCGCCTGGAAGAAACCGACCTATCTCCTCGGTTCATCGAGGAAAACTGCAGACGAAAACACGCTCCGCGATAGCTGTCCCTATTGTGTTACACATATAATTCCATTCTACCTATAATACAACGTATTCGGAATGCTGCGATGTAAAATCTTCGGCGAGAATGTTTGCGCGGTGAATGTCTATCGCAAAAATACCGGAACACATTGATTTTTCATACAGAATACATGACAAAACAATGGAGAAGAAAATGAAGGACAAAGGCAAGGACAAAGACAAGAATAAGTCGAGTTGACGGTTGAATTGATGAAAAAAGTCTTCCGGGGAACAGCGATGGAAGAACCGATAGAGTGACGTCCGTCAGTTCGGCGGTCGACAACTCGATTCGATCCCTGGAAAGTGAAACCCCGTTGAATTCGACGGAATCTCCGTCAACGTCACTGACCATTCAAATACACACTTGACCCAGAATACAGGGGATAGCGATACAGAGGAGACCAAGTTACGGAAGACACGTGCAACGCGAGAACAAGGATAACCGAAGCGGCGAGGAGGAACGAGAACTTGCTGGCAACGTTTCAAAGCGCAGTCCGACCTAGCTGAAATGCCGCAGTACTTCAACGTTGTGTCGCATACCAGGTAAAAATATTGCGGAACCGTTAGCTGCCGACCAACAATATACTTGCATATTGTATAATTCACCGCGTAGGAAATCGAGGCTGCACTTTCTCCGTGAGAACTCATTACGCACGGTAACCGACACTCTCACCTCTGATTTCGGTTGCTAATCGTTTAGAGTGCTAGACTTACTCTCGAGTAAGTAAGCGGTTACCGGGACGATTTATCGGAAGCTTTAACCCGTTGACTGCCAAGGCAAACTGTAGGTTTCTGGTCCCAGAAGCCAATTTAATTCAATCATATATTACTCTTAAAGTTTCTATGAGATAACTCGTAGTCGGTGTACCGGACGAGACCAACTGCGAGTTATCTCGTAGTTGGAAGTCAACGTAACAACGTTCATACTCTTCAATGCAACAACCGATTTGCGTTTGCGAGTCAAGAATAACGGCAGGTGCAACGATACTTCCAAGCCAGAACCGTTGCGGTCGTGGTCATGGCCTTAGCGACTATACATCGTTGATCACCTTTAGAAGATATCTACGTTACCAACAGGGATCAGTAGCAGGTGAACGCATCCAACTGATAACGCGCACGTACCCATGTACCATCCGTTGTTCGGAAAACGGCCCGCGAGACGGCACAAGGGCAAGGACTTCCTGTGGGTTGCAGGACGCTTAGACACTCCTCTGTACCGTTCCGACCAATCGCACACCGGAGCCGAAAACACACTGGATTTCGACCACTCGGAACCGCGCTCCTTCCGCGAGCCATCTTTCGAATAACGGACTACATAGTCTATCTCGTCAGGCAGTATAATCCGTAGACCCAATATAATCGTTTTACTTTCCATTCGATTATAAAGCAAAGGTTTAACAATGCTGCTGACTTATGTTGCTTTCGAGCATCCTTCAACGATCTGATTAGCTAACCGCTGCATCCGACACTCGTAACAGAAATCGCGCAACAATGTACTTCAGCGAAAGAAAACGAGACGAATCGACTGTCTGCGGGAGAAACCTGGAAACCGGAAGCACGACAGGAACACCGACTTCCGTCTATCATGGGAAAAATAGAGAGGAACCGGCGGTCTACGCTTTCCACTTCTTTCACGCCAGTCAGGGAAACAATAAGTCCTTGGACCAAAACTTGTACGTCTTATATTTACCATTTAGGTGTCTCCCGTGCGATTTCCCACTTCGAATTTACGCTTCTTTAGAAAGACTGCGAGTAGGCTCGTGCCTATCACGTTTCCTGTGATCGTATCGATGAAGTATCGCCGTTTACTGGCACAGATGATATACTTGTTCGGAACTCGACTTTCAACGGTTCCTTCGAACGTAAACAAATACCGTATTAATTCGTCGTCCCAAAGCATGTAACCGAAAGCAGAAGTAATTCCTTATTTTTGAATAAACTCGATTTCCATGAGAAACGGATACGATAGCCACGCAAACCAGAGTTACCCCAGCAGAACTCTGACGATCGCAAACGATGTACCCTTCAATGGAGACCATTGAATTTGCAGCGATGATCGTCAGCTGGATGAGAAGCAATATCTCATGGCTCCCGCAATTAAACGGATCGAGTAATTGGTACTGTCACTTTTCATTTCGTTCCGAGTTGAAAAATGGCAAACTGAACGTGTCAATTCAGTTTCGACGAAACCAACTCGCACCGAGAGAGTACAGCCTTTCAACGTATCATGGGGAGAAATATACTCTATTCGATCGGGTAACAAAAGGAAACAATCGCGATCACGTACCTTCTTGATTCGGGTTGTTAACATTAAGATTGGGATGCGATGTCAAAGAAGATGGCGTCTCGTCCTCGGCGACGCCCATCGTTGTTGCTGCTGTTTGCTGATGATGCGTCTCCACTTCTGTAGCCTCTTCGCACCTGCGTGAAAAGAGATCTATTACAGAGTTTTCTCTCTCGAGAGTCCTTCGGGAAAAAATAATTCGGCACGATGGACGCGGAAAGGTAACCGGATCGCAGGAATTCTTTGGTCGACATCGCGATATCGCGATGTATCGGTGGGAGCCTGTGGTCGGGCACGGGACAGTGTTTTTCGCAGATCGTTTTTCGAATTCTCGTGAATAGAAAGTGCTTACGTAAAGTTTCGTCTCGCTAACGAATAGTAGCAGAGTCAAGGACCCGATACGGCTACAATGAGAAAGGAACGGGCGCGCGTTTGCATTCACATTCACGCTCACGTTCACGTTTACGTTCATGCTCGTGTTTACGTTCACGAAAACCGCTGCTTCTGCTTCAACTAAGCTCGTACTTCGTTCCGTGCTATATTTCTCGATCGATGGTAACGCAAGTATACCGTGATAATACCCACCGTTGAAAACAGAACCACAGGCTTGGAGTTGATAAACCACAGAGGCATAAAAATAACAGTGGTTACACGTGTTTCCGTGAAGTCTTTTTCGCGAAACGGAAAACGGATGTCGCATTTGCCATCTAACGGTATACCGACCTCCAAAGTGGTCTCCTGTAAACGCGTGTTCCATATCTCAGAAGCGCGCCACAACAGTGCGCATCTAGGTACTATCCTAACTCGAGTTTTCTGGTCGCAATTTCACCCGAGGAAAGAGTGCCTCGAACGATTGTCGCGCGAAGATCGAGCGACCGAACATGCGTCATGCCTCGAATCGAAAGGGTTGAAACTCGATGTGGAAATGCAGGAGAATGAACGGTACGTGAGTCACTTGAGGAAGAGGAAAGCAACGAATACTGTGAACAACCGTGAACGACGATCAAGTAAACCGAATGTTAACCCTAGCGTCGAGGTACGATTTTCAATGTTTTCGCCCGTAACGCGGTAATCTCTGTCTCGCGGACTGAACAAACTTTGACAGAGCGTAGCTTCGTAATAAAACGGGCCTCTCCGGCTCGCTCGCGAGGAGACTCCGACCATTTCTCCTTCGGCCAACGACCGTGTCTCGTCTCCTCTTTACCTTTAGTTCCGCGAGTTCGAACGCACGGTGGTCTCTCTTCCACGCTATTTCTTTTTCCCGTGCGAACCGCAAACGCGCGTTAATAATCTAATAAATGGCCAAATTGTCGGGGATCGTCTGTCGAAACACGAGCATTGTAGGAGCACAGTCCGATGCAATGTTACGTTCCAGACTCGTTTCACAATTAGTCGACGTCGTTTTAATGGGTGCAGAACTCTCCTTTCAAACCTTTCAACTGCTCGGTTTGGTAAATAAACGGAACGGGAGGAAGGTTGATCTTTACTCTGGGGTGACATTTTTAAAAATGAACTTGTTATACATATGTGTAACGTAACTTCTGAACCGATGAATTCCTAAGCCTGAAACTTGGAATTTAGTTTTTATTTATCGAATACTATCGATATATGTACATAAATAAAATGACATTTTTTATCTTGTTTCGACATTTTGATAATAACTTAGCGTTTGAATTATGTGTAGCATTTGACTAAAGCCCATTGGGTTCTGCGATTCGTCGCTTGTACGCCTTGTATTTCCATACGATACAAATTTGCGTAACACTGTTCTAAAAATAGTGTAACAATGGCGTAACAGCGGGGTAAATGTGGCGTGAAAATGGCGTAAAAACGACGTGAAAATCTACCATTGACAACGAGAAGTAATTAAGTATCGTATCACACTCTCTCGGGTCACGATAAGCCGCGGTGTCTGTAAACAGTTTTACAGAGAGATAATAGGAGCAATAGGTCAAATTACCGGTACCTATTCGAAACGGTTGATTAATCAATTTCTCTAAACCGTAACAGTCACAAAACGTCTAACCGGTATACGTATATATTATCATAAACTATAATGAAGTTACTGTACTTGGAAAACTGGAAAATGAAACATGGACTGATTGACCGGTAACACGATACGATGGGTACGCGGTAGACTACTTTCGTGGAAAGATGTAACGAAGGAACGGTAAATGAGTGGGCGTCTGCATTCGTTAGCGATACCCCGTACTTACACACGTCTAACCGATAGCTCGCGTAATATGTAATGTGTCAAAATAGGTGCGCGGCGTTTAAAAACTAACAACTACGGATGAACTATTTCTGTGGAATTCCCGGAGTCGAGGGTAAAAAGTAGTGTGGGAGATGAGCGAGGAGGATGAGTGGAAGGCACCGTTTCAACGGCACCAGACCGGTTTCGTGTGTGATCCTGTCGCGATATTTCGCAGAGTTAAGGTGTGTGCCGCACAAAATCGTATACATATCCATACATATGTACAACACGACACCGTTACTAAACCATACCACTATAAGTATCATCTACAGAAGTAGGTGCGTGTAGACGGTAGTATGCGTGGAAAGAGACGTGCGCGCGTCCACCGCGAACTTACCGTCACTGCGAGTACAGTGAACGAATCGTGTTTATAACAATAGATTTTTTTGATTAGTAATACCCTCGGTTGAAAACGGTCGCTGCCTTGGTCTCGTTTCTATGGAAATCGTCGGAAATTCGGTTAGACTGGCGACCAGACGTACACCGCCACATCATCTACGGTTCGAAGGCACGTTCGAAAGTAAATACACTTTACTCACATCTTAATACACGGCTCCGTCTTGAAGCTGCATTCGTAGGCTCGTCGTATTCGATGCTTGGACGATCCGAGAACTCGCGGTCAGCTCTTCAGCCGCCAAATTGACTCGACCAATCGTTTTCGATATTTCACTATACCGTACACTTTATCCACTAATCTATTCACTGTGTGCTCCCCACCGGTTTTCGAATGAAATAAACCGTGCAATAGATTCGCGAGTCTCGAAATTACCGAGTTACCAGTAAACCAGCTACCAGCTATGAATTACCAGCTACGAGCTATGAGCTATGAATTGCTAGGTACGAGGTACGAGCTATGAGCTACGAGCGATAAGCTACAAGCTACAAGCTACAAGCTACAAGCTACAATCTACCGTCCCGAGAGTCCCCGGTCAGTTCACAATGCCTGTTTTTCGCGCCGAGAGCTCTGTTCACTTTCTGATCGTGATTCCCGTATCTGGTCGAGTTCGCCGCGAATACGCAACCAACAACGATATTAGTCTCGAATCGCGAATGATCCTTCACCGGAACACGTTCATACGTTTTTATTCCCGAGGAATGTATCCCTATGACCCGTGAAAATCACGAAAACGATGAGATATTGACAAATACGTCGCGGCGTCGCGACACCGTCGACTAAATTTCACTCATCCACCAGCTGGCGCCACATTGCGATTCGACCATGGTCTTTTAATTCGTTGGATTAGAGGTTCTCAATACATCTTCGCGTGCCCGACCTCTTTCCAAAATTAGATTACATTCATCGATTGCAAATACTATGAAATCAAAATCAATCGAACATTAGATCGAACACTTTTTTAATAAAGGAACTCAGTATTTTTCTATATCGCATGATTAAAAATATACGACGGCTATTACTGCAACCTTTCTATGGGGAAGAATCGTAATAAACGTACATTCTGGATTTTTATTCTTATATATGTATACTTAAGTACTTAAACCTTACATTCGTTACATTGTTTCTATTTGAAATAATCTTACTGTATATTCTACGATTGTACTGTATCGATATCTTATGAATTAATCGAAATAAAATTTTATTTCTTTTCTTTCCCTTTCTCTCATTTCTCTTTTCCTTTATCTATTTTTTCTTTTCTTTTCTCTCTCTTTTCTTTGTTCTGTTTCCTCCTTCCTCTTACTCGTCGTTTAATGGTTCATAAGATATTACTCTGTATTGACTATAAACATTTCAAAGTGTGCTGGGAATTATTCAGATACTCGAGTTAATTTTATTCAAGTTAAATTAATACCAACATTTGAATGTGATCGTGAATTAATTTTGATATTCGTGAATTCCTTTCTATTGATACTTCAAGAGATTTCGAAAATCACGTCTTTCTTTGTGTTGTCATGTCTTTTAATTATTCTAACCTACAACAACGCTTGCCAGCTCTAATTGTGTTCTTATAGATTACCTTGTATTTACAAATATTCGTTAAGTGTAAATGGATATATTAGCATTTTAAAATCTACAACTACCTCTTTTGAAATTCATATTTTATTGTACAATGGACAACTTATTTGGAAAAGAAGATTCTGGAAATGAAAGCGAACACATAGACATTGAGGATAAAGAAGAAAAAGACAGTCCATCTAGAAACTATTTAACTAAAGATATAGAATCAATGGATGCAGATAATATGCATATTAAGGTATATAGAAGAATGTTCTGTAGAATGGTTTCATTATTTTATTATATACATTTTAAATAGCAATTATCGCATACAACATTGTAGGTAGAATCTGATGCAATGAGTTCTCAATCTCAATCGGATGTGGAAGAAGCAGGTTCTAGTTTGTTAAGCACAATAGTAGATGATCAAATTGAAATTGTTAAACATGAAATTGATAATCGGGAAGAAGATCAAACCACGGATGATCTATTTGGAAATGATATAGTATTACCACATGCAAATCCAACACATGTTAAAGAAAGGAGAGAAAGTAAAGAAAAAAGTAAGAAAGAACTAGAGGAGGAGGAGAGAGAAAAAATGCAGTATGTACTTATGTTTCTTCTTATGATTACAATCAAGTACTATTTCTTAAATAAGTACAGGAGTATCAGTATGGTTTTTTCAACAGAGTTTTAGTGTCCAATTTCACAGAGGATCAGTTGGATAGATATGAAATGTACAGGAGAGCTGCATTCCCAAAAGCAGCCATAAAAAGAGTAATGCAGTTAATTTTAATACACATTTTATAGTTCGTATAGTGTTCCATCATTCCTTAAATACACATTCTAATTTATATTTTCTATCATAGATTATGCAAACCATTACTGGTTGCTCTGTGTCACAAAATGTAGTCATAGCAATGTCTGGTATTGCAAAAGTGTTTGTTGGAGAAATTGTAGAAGAAGGTACAGCTTAGATTTTTATCTGAAACCTATAACCAGTCAAAAACTTTCATTCATTAACTACATTCTCAAACACAGCCCTTGATGTTATGGAAGCACACCAAGAAACAGGGCCACTACAGCCAAAACATTTGAGAGAAGCAGTCAGGAGATTAAGGCTTCATGGGCAGATTCCAAATGGTCGTGCCCATAAAGCATTTTTTAGGTTGTAAGTGATCTGTAGAAACATTAGATTAACATGTTCCGTACCACCGGGAATTTCTGTTATATCTTGCTTGCAAAGTGTATTGATTTCTTTACATTTCCGCTGCTCAACATAAAAATTGCGCATGTACTAAAAATGGTACATGCGGCACTGAACGTGTTAAACTATGATTACAGTTCAAAGAAGACTGTACAGTGTTTTAAGAGAATGTTAAGAGTAAGATCTTATTTTTATATAGAATGTATGATGAGTCTATAGCAAATTAAAATTCTTAAGAACAACTATAGAAATAATTTACAATTTAGGTATCTGTTTCAACAAAAGGTTTATAAATTATTATAATTATATTATTTATACGATAATATGTTAACCTTTTGCTGTACTATACCGAGTCAAACACGACGAAGATTTATTTTTTTATTATCACTTCTAACCTGTAGAATAAATGTAGGCTTACCATAGACATAGAACCTCTATTTTATCTATCAAATCGTTAATAGTAGAATAGTTCTAATGAGTAAAGTTAGGAAAAATATCATTTTGTGAGGAGTTAATACAATCGTTAGTTTATTACTTGTAATATCATTAGACCATAGCACAATATCATTTCGCTTTGAATGAAGTTATTAAAGAAATCGATTTAAATATTATGTCGGTACGCATTCTATATATATGCATGCGTATATGTACCTATGTATATGTACGTACACGACGTACACGTCACGCACATAAAATGTGCCAAATGAATAAAAATAGTATCAAATTTATCATACTATTTTATTAATCCAACAATTATTATGTAATATATAAACATTTTTCTGTGAGTAACGTAAATGTATGTATTTTCAAGCGACAATGTTTACACGTTGAAGTACTTAAGTACACATACACATAAAACACGATCTGTCAGTTACTATAGCAAAGCTGTAATTAATTAATTAACACAATTCCTCGTAAGAGAGGTTTTAACCAATTTTTTTCGTTCTTACAGTACGTTCGTCAGTTAGCAAAAATTCGAAGAGATTAACATGCTATGCGATTATTATTTGCATTAGCGGTAATTGAATTTTTTAGCTACATTTTTCCAAAGAATTCTGAGAATGAAGTTCAATTTAAAAAATTACAACTCTTTAAGTCGACAGGGGATATGTCAAACTACACTAACAAAAGGTGAATTAAATTATAATTTAAGGTGATACATCTTTGTTTTACTTCTAAATTCTAATAATTGGTCTTTTAACTCAGTTTTTACAATAATCAGGAACAAAACTTCGTTGCTAAGTTTAATTCCAACATCCAATGTCGAGGAAGTAATGAAAGAAAAATTCAGTACGACTACTATAGATCGCTGTACAATAATCCGTATTCTTCTGTAGCTAATATTAAGATGCACAAATATGTACAAGTTAGTTAACCTATAATTAAGTAATCGTGTTAATAATTGTATTAATGAAGTACACTCTGTGCAGATTAATGAAATAGAACTACAACAGTATACGAACAAGCTATCAATTTTGAGATCTCAACAGCATTTCGGATACTTTGAAGGGTCAAAAAATTATGGCCGGAAGTTACTTAATTCTTTAGATGAAACTGATTATAGAGATCTGATTAAGACTAATTTATTTCATGAGATTAAAGGTGAATATTATATAAATTTATCTTATCGAGTGTTTGAGCACGTGTATGACATAGTTCATTTAATAGTGTAATTTTTGCTTTTCAACCCCACTGTCCTGTATCTAATTAGGCGTTAGTAAATACCGCGAAGATATTTAGATGGTGATATAAGATGATTAATGAGGCTGCACATAAAGAATTATATGATTTTAACACGTCACAGATAATGAGGACTGGGACGAATGGGATAATTGGAGTGCATGTAGTGTTACTTGTGGAAATGGTAGACAGGTTCGATGGCGTCATTGTTCAGCAGAAGATTGCACCAGAGGATTAAAGAGAGCACAAATAAAACCGTGTCGGCTAAAACAATGCGATAAGAATATTTTTCATTGGCTTGGAATAAAAACCTGATAATAACTTGCTACATCTACGATTGAAAATATTATTATTGCATATTCGATGTTATTTTAACAGTATACAGATATTTCTATTTATTTACATAGCATGAGAATCATCATATTTCGCATTAAATAGAATGAGAATGATACAAGACTTGTGTCGTACATTGAATCAAAGTCAAGTGTTTGTCGTACATGAAAAATGATAATACAATTTCCACTAATCAATCTTCTTTTGTTAAAAAAGGTTTTCATTTCCTTTATTTCTATCGAATGTTATTATTCATGGTATTTTGTATAAATGGCAGACAATTTCATTAGATTGTAATTCAATGTGAAATTATTAATGATATGAGATGTAAATTATACATACGGTGCGTATATTCGTCATGTTGTTCAAGTCGAGGAAACTATTTATCAAATTAATAACGGTTGGATACTTTATCGCGGAATGTACGATACTTTTGGAGGGCAACGTTGTTTTAACTGCCACCATGTCATATTTCCCTTATAAGAAAACATCGACTGTTAATATGGAAAACGTTCAAAATGAAAATCTGCAGCAACCGTTTGAAACTGCCAATAAATATCGAAATTATGAAAATAAAGATTACATAGGTGTGAAAGCCAGTACCTAAACTAGAAAGCATATATAATAGATAAATGATTGATTAAAACCTTTAATTATAAAAATAAATGTGATAATGAACAATACAGTCAATACATAAAAGATAAGACGTAATAATTAGATATTAATTAGAGTTAGGTTGTACATACAAATATTATGATCTTCTCAACAAGACTGTTTCTATTCAAATTATTTTAAGAGAAAGATTAGCATGTGTTATTACAAAAGGATAATTTGTTCTTCAGGGTTACATATTACAGGATTATAAACCTCATGAACTTCACTTTCTATTTTATAAGTTACATAACCAATATTAAAACTTATATCACAGAGCATATGAAATTTGTTTAGGAAGTTATTCCTATGTATTTATATTGCTATTCGTAATTTTATATTTTTATTAATATCTTTGTATGTAATGAAAAGTACTGCTTGTTAAAAAAAATATTGTGATACTAGGTAGATTGAGTAGACAAGAACCCAAAATATGGGATCAATGGGGACACTGGTCCAGTTGCAGTGTTACTTGTGGTGCAGGAAAAATAGCAAGATGGAGACATTGTATAGCTGGCAGCTGTTCTGTAGGTGAAAAGAAAGCACAATTAAAAACATGTACTCTTGCAGCATGTTGATACTTTTTCTGAGAATGCCTAAAAATATATACAAACTGCACAATGATAACATTTCTGTCATTATACGCTCTGCTTTGTGATTTAATTCTAAGAATAATTCCAATTAAATTAACCAATTTATCTTTACCTTTCACCTAAGATAAAAATCTGCAGAATTCACCTCACAAATGCACATTCTTCAAAAAAATTAAGATCTCTTTTCGACATTCAATACAGTTTCACCTATCTGTTTAATTAGTAAGTATATTATATTACACATCTCAGATTTGAATGTTGTCTACTCGCTGTTAAAATAGTCATTCGTTCTATATATTGTAGGCTGTTTAAATACTGGTAACTTATTTGGTAATAATGGTTCTTGACTCTTTTTCTGAAATATAAAATAACTTATGCAAAACTGCCACAACATTAAAATATGTAGTTGCTACTTACAAAAAAGGATAAAGGATTTAACATTCCAAATAATCTATCAGAAATTCCTAATTCAGCTTCTGCATTTTCAACAGCAGCTTCTAAAGTGGTTAAATTTACATTAGCCAATGCTATAACATGTTCTAAAGCATCTATACGTCTACAAAGATTCACAACTTCTTGTTGCATGTCTTGCAATTGTGGAATATGCTGATCCATGCATTGCATTCTTTCGGTCTGAACCTTTCAACAGAAAATATGATATGTCTGTGACGGATTTAATAAACAAAATTTGTATCAACTATTATCCCTAACCATTTCTATGATCGATTGAAATTCTTCTAACCGCATCATTACATCCTCAATGGTATTATGGAAACTTTTCATCTGCAACACAAATTTCCTTTTACTTTATGCATCTCGAAATATAGAAATGCCCTTTTTACACGTGAAGTATCACAAAAAAGCATCTCTCTAAACCATTCACCGACTGTTTTTAGAGGTTATGTAAAATATAATACTCGCTTGATTAGATAAATCCAATTTTGCATAACTCGCATAATCCTTTGCCAATTCTTCGACTATTGCAGTAGTATGGGTGGACATTTTTCTTTGTTTTTTACAAGTATTTATATAAGTGCTAGAGAATTGCCTGCGTAGTCCATCTTCAATGAATAGCGTTAAACGTAGCTGACGCCATTTGCTTATGTTAATAACACGTCATAATTTATAATTGAAGCATTTTATCGTAGCACCAGATAAAATTGATTTGAAATCTCGTTCTCCTTAATTGAATTCTAATCCATCTAATTTGTTAAAATCGTTACGTGCGTCTGATCCTATTAATATTTCCACAGCTATAATAATATTTATATTATTCGTTTCTCAGTTACATAAAATGTGATTTATTTTATTTCAGACAAATACAATTGTATCCTTACAAATTGTATTTCCTTCATAAGAATTTTTCACACCAACATAAAATACACACCCATACATGTACATACATATGTATTAATTTTGTATCGATCAAGGGTGTTATTTAATATGATCATTTCAACAATTCTCATAATACAACTGTTTCATTGTACACGTGTAACAAATGTGTAGCTTTAAAATTAACGAGGAACTGTAACAATGGACGCGCTCTAATGAACAGGAGTGAGAAATTCCGAAAGAGAAGCGCACGAAATTTATATGGTGGAGGTCGGTGAACTATAATGTGCATCAACTTTACGTAATGTTGTTTGCGCAATGAAAGTTTATGCGATACTGGTAGAAGCAACGTTAGTGGCTCACGAGTAACCCGTGCAGCTATGGAATAAACGCAATGTATTGTTCTGTAACACCATAGTTCGATGTAATTGAACAAATAATGCGTTAGAACTGCATCAGTTTCAGTATCAATTTCGTTTCTAAAAAGTGCATTTATTTCTTAACTAACACGTATTTCGTTTATCTAACTAATAATATTACATATTGTTATGTACAGTGTATACACGAAACGATAAGGAAAACATTTGCATTATGTAGCGGAATATCGATGCGAACCAGTTTTTGCATCTCACATACAAGTATATTACGAAACTGGTGCCAAGATGGTCGGGAAATTAATAATGGAAACATGTTTCGAAAGGCATTAAAAACCTTAAGTAGGCTGCGATCTAGATACATAAAAACGGAATTTATATCACTTTATCAACAAACAATGTTTTTTCAGATTCCTGTCAACAATTTGTCAGATTCCCTTTTAATCGCTTCCGGGAAAACAACTAGTATCGTTATCAATATAGACAGATTAGTTTCAACAATTTACGTACTTAATTTCAAATTTTCTGGAACATTTGAAAAATGTCTTGTCGATGAGTACTGGATTTATCTTCGTGTATAAATCAAATCTATTATATTTTTCATGGCGAAGGGATGAGGACACGATTGGGAATATTCGTTGGCCGGACGGCGATCGCGGAAAATTTTGCGAAGGATAAAATTAAGGAGAATCGGGCAGTGTGGCAAATCTCATGACCCAATGCCCCGGGGCATATTATTGTAAGAAATCGGCGCAGAATATTGTAAGAAATCTGGCGAGAAAAAGAAGGAAGAGCAAGAAAGTCGTCCAATTAAGCACAGGTGGGGAGACAACGTTACCTCGCCGGATAGAAGTGCCGCGCAAAGTGACGTTTAAGCTCAGTGAGTTCGAGCGCGCTGTTCGCGACTCTTTCTCTTATTCAGCTGATCCGAGTGGATACGCGCATCGTTGTTGGAAACAGAAACGACGACTCAGAGGATTTTAATTTTTCTTTAACTCGTTCGAGTCAGGTGAGCCTGCCTTCGCAGCGGAATATTTATTTCACTTTCGCCGTACAGGTGGTAATTTCGTTCTTCACTAGTTTTCTCGTTAATCGAACCGTTCGAACGACCGGTACATCGGCACGATCAACGATGTTTTAAAATGAAATGTTCTACCGAACGCGACACGTGCAATTAATGATGCAACATCGTACGCGGGCAAGTGTCTTGTTTTTGTTTATCAGGACACGTTTGTGAGTGGAGGATCGACGTAACATCGATCGTTCATTTGTTGTTTACGCCGATGAAATATGTCAAAGAGCGTTCCGCGTATAAATATCCTCTTATTATAGACATTACTCGTTAGTCTCTAGAAAAATTCGTCCCGAGAAACTGTATACCGGGGGTACGGAGTACGACAGCATCGCCGAACGTAATTATGTAATACATTTCCATAGAACTTCTGCATGTGTGCGGCGTTCAGGTTTCTGGTATATTGTAGCATTACTGGCCACTCAACTGTGACTCCATTCCTTCGTCCTTTTTCCTGTTTTAGACTACATTAAGTCTCGCATAGCCGCCGTAGGATGCGGTATTCTATAATATTTAATCGTACGTGTTATTCTTAGAACCACTTTCCTTAGAGACCACTGTTTCTCAAATGTTTAATATTCTGTTACACATACGGGAATGTCAATGCGCGTGATACTAAATGCTGCCTCGGCTAAACGGAGTGTCATCTTCCGAGCAAGAATCCAAGCGAATTCGCAACCGGCTAACACAGTAAACTATTCAATAATTCTTTCACTCTCCCCGAAGCGTGTTCTCTGCAATTCGACGCGTAACGTCAAAACAGTACGTACTCGTAGCAACTCGGTTACATAATTTGACAAAAAGAGAAACTTCCCGGAAGATTATATTCTGACAAGATGATCGCGAGCAGTTTAGCATTCAGAATATAAGGAGTAATTACTCGAGTTCGTCGCCGTTGTAGTATATGCTTCCTACGAGGCACGGGATCGAGCAGCTCCCGAGGAGAGATCGAAATGCAACGGTGTTTCTCGCTTTCAACTGTGTGCCCTTTCTGTTCCACTTTCTAACTCGATGCAGGGCAGCTTGTTTTATCAGTTCGCTCGTGATTTATCGACGTATCAGTTTGTAATTTTTCTTTCAGACCGTCAAACATGAGCGAGTTGACTGAGATACAATCGTTTTACAAGGGGAAGACCATTTTTATAACCGGGGGAACCGGTTTGATGGGAAAAGTCCTCATCGAGAAGTTACTCTACAGTTGCAGCGAGTTGAATAAAATTTATGTCCTGATAAGATCGAAAAGAGGCCGAACGCCCGACATACGGGTCGACGATATGTTTAAATTACCGGTGAGTATGATTGATCGTCGAAGCGCGCGCGTTGATAGCAGGTACTCGCTGCTTACCGTTTCCTCTTCGACGAGAGGCTAATTTTATTCGGCCGGAAGAGGATGCTGTTCTCGAAGCGAATTTCCTCGTGAAATAAACCCGAACGTCGTCGGCTCCGTCGGTTACGAATAACCTTCGATTTTCCTCGTGTCAAATGTAGATGTTCGAGAGAGTGAGGAAAACGAAGCCGTACATTCTGAAGAAGGTGGTGCCGTTGGCTGGGGACGTGAACACGGAAAACTTGGGATTATCTAACGAGCAACTGCAAACGTTGATAGAGGAGACCGACATACTGTTCCACTGTGCGGCGACGCTTCGGTTGGAAGCGAAGTTGAAGGATGCCATCGAAATGAACACGGTAAAGCGAAGCCGGTGTTTCCGCGCGGGAACACGCGAGGAAAACAAGTTCGCCCGTCGATAGTCCCCTCGACGGATTATTATTCGTTGCCACCTTCTCTTCCGAGATGTAACGATTTCACCTGAAACATGGTTTCCAGATCGGAACGAAAAGAATGTTAGAGCTAGCGAAAAAGATGAAGCATCTCAAGGCGTTCGTGCATCTGAGCACTGCATTTTGTTATCCCGATTTAGAGGAGCTCGGCGAAAGGGTGTACGACGCGCCGGACGATCCTCACGATATCATGCGATTAATGCAGTGGCTGGACGAAGCTGCCATCGACCTCATCACACCCAAGTAATTACATTAGGTTACAGCATCACGCGCCTACAGAACGCCAACAATGTTCGAACGATCACGGAACACTCGATTCCATCGAGTTCACGTGGCAACTAATGTGAACTCGATGTGATTTATCTCGGATGACATAGCTCCTTTCGCTTTAGCTGCGTACTTCTCGCCTTCAACATTACGAACAATATCCTCGTTACAGATTGTTGGATCTTCATCCGAATACTTACACATATTCGAAGCGGTTGGCCGAGAAACTGGTAGCCGACGAGTACTCTAATTTAGCCTGCTGCATCGCCAGGCCGTCGATCGGTAAGATCGTTCCTTCGTCTCAGCCGGCGATCGTTCTGCTTCGCGTTTTAAACGAATGATTGTATGCACAGTAACTCCAGCCTGGGCTGAACCGCTGCCAGGATGGGTAGATAACCTGAACGGACCGGTCGGACTCATGGTCGGCGCAGGGAAAGGTGTTATAAGGTCGATGCACTGCAAGGCGAACTATCACGCAGAAGTGATACCAGTCGATCTGGCTATCAACGCGTTGATCTCGATTTCCTACAGGATAGCCACCGCCTCGGAAAAGTATGCCCCGGCTCGATTAGACTTTCACTGTTTTCGACACTTCTCGCAATGCTTGCTCTACGCGGAACGTGTTTCTTTAGGTCGAAGAATATACCGGTGTTCAACATTACGCAAAGCGGCGTGATGCCGATCACTTGGGGAGAGGTACTGGAGAAGGGAAAGAAGATTGCTTACGAAAATCCGTTCGAGGGGCAGATATGGTACCCGGACGGCGACATTCGCAGCAGCAAGTTCGTGCACAACCTCTTCGTCTTCTTCTTCCATATAATTCCAGCTTACTTCATCGATTTCCTCCTGTTGATATTCCAGCAGAAACGATTGTGAGTTCCGCCCGCGACTCGCGCGCTTTGCCGTCTTTAAATCCCATCGAAGTTCGAACTTTCGTTTGCCCGCCCACTCTCTTCTCGCTCCCCTTTCCTCTGTCTGTGATCTCCGTCTCGTTTGCAGCATGGTCCGCCTTCAGAAACGAATCTCGGTGGGGCTCGAGGTGTTGCAGTACTTCACCACGCGAGAGTGGGTCTTTCACAACACGAATTTGCTGATCATGTGGGGCGAAATGAGTAAGGGGGACAAAGAGATTTTCCCGATAGACCTTCAGGCGATCGACGATATGGCGTACATCAAAATTTGCATCTTAGGCGCGCGACAGTTCTGCATGAAGGAGAATTTATCTAGTTTACCTAAAGCCCGAAGGCATCAGACTATGTACGTATGCAAATCCGACTCGAAACCGCGTCCAATTGCGAACGAAGTGTTCCCAGTGTTTCCTTGTAACGGATTCGTTACTTTTTTGCAGAATGTACATTGTGCATATAATCGCCGTGTATTTGTTCTACTTCGGGGTGCTCTATTTGATTTACAAGAACTTCGAGATCGCCAGGTTCTGCGTGCATTCCGTCGCGGATTCTGTCGCGGCTCTGCCGATTCTGAACGGAGGAGTTCGGAAGATCCAGCAGTGAGAGTTCCGCGTTGATCGCTCGGTGGTCCACGGTTTCGCCGTGTTTCTTGCGAGAGAGGCAGTTGTTTTGGGAGATGGTATTGAGTGTTTCATAAGTAAGTAGGCCAAGGCGCGTTGGACCAAGTCGAGGCAATTCTGGCAACATTTTCAAGGACACTCTTCTCGCGGCTACACTTTTCTACAATAGAATTTCAGCGGAATTTCTCATTCTCGATTAACGGTTCCGACCGCTCCATTCAGGAAGATTCACTTTCATTGGGAGAACGTTCTTCAGGTGATGTCACGACCTTCTATGCGTGTGTCCGTATCATTCTGTTGTTTATAGTCCAAATTGATGCGAGCTGTGAACGTTTGTCCGATATTAATTGATCGTGATACGCGTGAAGATTCATTTACGTAAACACACGTTATCTTTTGATTTCAAAGTCACGGTTACCACACGCCCTTCTCTGTACACAGAAACTGTTATTATTACTATAATTTTATACAATAAACTGAGCAGGTTTTCTAGCCTACGAAAAGACATTTACTTTCTCCTACCTTCGAACCAATATCGTGACGTAATCTGCATCGAGATTCATGAATGCTTCGAGCTGTATCCAGTAAGCGAACCGTAACTGTAATTAAACATAATCATAACTGTATTCACGTAGGTCGCTTCGGTTATAATTTCTACAGTTTCAACGAGGACTAAAGTACTTCCATAGTTCGAACTATACTAATGTCAGACAGAACCGTGCGCCTAAGGAAATAAAGTTTCGAAATTACATTTCGGAGCATGTAGCTCGAAGGATTACGTATTAATGCGTTCAGAGATAAAGTCATCTTTCGCCGAGGAGAAATGGGACCAGTTTATAGCGGAACACGTTATTGCGTCACAGATACGCGCTATTAGGATGTGTGCGATACGTATCAGGAATGCGATAGCTGCTTTGCAACGCTGCGAATTAATAAAGAATGAAAGCTAAGTGCGCGCGCACGTTGATACGCTAAACGGTCAATTGAAGTAAGAAAAAAAAACCGAAGGGAAAAGCAACAGATGTTAGTTCCAAATTGTGTATTAGGGTGGCGCTGAGAAATTTCAGACCTAACTTCTATCCCATTATTGATCTACCCGTAACACATAAAGAACCTTCTCCCAAGAAACTTCCCGGAGACCTGCCAAAGTTAATCCGTCTATCCAAAATTAATTTCGATTTTCCGACTCACTTCCCGCGGCATTTCCGCCGCTTTCGAGTCATTATTCCTCTTGCTTAGCACAATATCATCCCAAAGTTACGAACAGTTTCTTAAGATCCTTCGTCCGCGTTTGCAAGAAATGAACGGGAACCTTTCGAAGACGCTTCTGCGTTTCTGTGTCGATTATTTTTAAGAAACATCGTGTTTGTGGACTGACGTTCTTTTTCCTGAGTCTCGTGCTTAGTCCGTTAGGACCGCGAAACGGTAAGATGGTAGCTAAACAAGACAGTCGATGACTGGTTGGACGGTTCGACACGAACTATCGTGCCAAGTGAAATGTTTATTTCGCAATTATTGATATCTTCGATAAAATATTTTCAAGCTATCGATAATCTTTGTTGAATGACCTTGAAAGTAAGTAGCCCGAAGAAACTGAAAATAACCTGTTCTTACAGTTTTTATACGGATTACACGTTAATCCTATTAAATGTCGGGTCGTTCTATTGTTATCCCGTCGACTGTTTGATAAGCCGTTTCGTCGCCGCATCGGGAGAAAAGGGAGCACGCGAAAGAATCGGGCGTGACACACGTCACCGATCACGCGGAGATATAGGCCAACGAAGAAGAAGGGATACTTAAGGGCGAGGGCGAAGGTTAACAACTATGCGTGCGACCCTTGTACATACGTACCTACAGCGGAGTTCAAAAGTTCCCGTCAGATCATTTTCCGAATTCCTCGACAAGATGAGCTTCAACGAATTTTCCTTTAACCCTTTGCACTCTAAGAATTTTCTACTAAAAATACCCAACACACTTTTTGATGAAATATCCTCAACATTTCTTGAAACTTGCTTCACAAGAAATCGCACATGGATTAAAGAAAAAGACTATTTTGTCCAAATGTTTCATATATTAATGCATCACACAAAAATGAACATTAAATATACTTTATAATTTTCTGTGCAAATCGAATGGCGACTGAGAGGCACCTATGGAGTACAAAGGGTTAATATAACAAGTCACGACATACACATACGAATACTACAAAAGAAACCGTATCTCATTTTCACAGCTGCGTATTTAAAGAATAACTAAGTAAGCTTGTTTGAAAGTCTATCATTACTATTTATTCCTAAATAAACATGTACAAAAGTGGTCGATTATTTGACGTCCTCCATACATCAACAACAATCTTCAACCCCTTATCGTCGAAGAAAAGCTCGAAAGCTGGCCGGGATCTTTTGAACGCCGCTGTATATAAACGGAAACGAGAAAAGCGAATAGCGCGTGCGCTGTATCTCCAGGATACAGGCACGGGGAGGACGGTCAGGACTTGGGGGTTGTTCAAGGTGCAAGCACAAGCCAGTTCAAAGCTGACTATCGTTCGGCTTGCGTACATGTACTTCGTTGGCCGATCGCGACGTCGGAATCTCGACTTCCGAACATCGAAATTTCCAAACTGGTTGCTCGGAGTATCGTCGCCGTGTTCCCATCATGTTCCCATCGCGTTCCTATCGCGAGCCATGTAAGCGTTTATGAGACCATTTAGCACGCGTGTTAAACTCGCCAGTGAAAACGGACTCGTTGATTCACCTTTCGACAGGATGGTAGATCATTGGCAGCGTTCCGTTAGCTTCCGCGCAGCTAACGATGACCGAGAGAGGAGACACTGCTAGCGATACAACGTGTCCGCTAATTGTCAGTTGCCCCGGACCGTTCGTCGTTAACGAACGTTAAATCTCCGAAGAGTCTTGAACCGGAAAGTCGTCCACGGATTATGGCGCTCGTCGTTACGGTGAAGAACTTCCAGGGGTTGAAGTGTAAAGGGGAGAAGGCGGTCAAAGTTGATTTCCGAGGTAAGCGTTCCGTCGAATCTTGCGATCGATCTAGTTCAGTTTCTTCGAGGAGCGTAGGACGATCGCATCGAATAGATTGACGAACAGTTTCCAGGATAACGTCGGGATTCGTCGTCGAGTCGCCGAAAGCTGAAATCAATCGCGCGATCGATACGCGCAACAATTTCGCTGGGCCATCGTCTTTTATGCGATGAAACGTTGCATCGAATGGTTTACATTCCCCTCTTTGCACAGCGAATTAATGTTGTTCGTTTATTCGAGCAGATTCATTTATGAATCGGTGGTTTCTGCTTTCAAGAAGTCACTTCAGGCGCTCGAGAAACTTAAACTTGATCGGTACTACTCGGTGAACGAGTCTTTCCATGCATAATTCGTTGAAAGATGTTTCTCCGTCGATTGGGAACTACTCGATTGACGTGCCGAATTAAATCGATTCGATTCAAACAATTTACATCGGTTTCCTCGCCGAGGGAACGATTTCGTTTGTATACGCGTCGGCGTAGCAATTGCGAGCACCTGTAATATAGCAGGATCTAGATTAAATTAATTGCGAGATACGCTGGTTTAATAAACCAGGTCGCGTATAGATAGAACTTGTATATGCATCAGTGGCAACCACTAAGAGTAAAAAAGTATTTCGTATAAAAAGTATAATCAACGAGAACACTGTTCGTCGCTAGATGTCCACTCGGCGAATGGTATCGCGCATTTTCTTATGTCACAACACTTTAACCTTCGCCTACCGGTTATTCTCTTTATTTCCCTTTTCATATTTCAAATTAACTCGAGCTGTTTACGTCTTTGTATTTAAATAAAAAGCAGAAACAAAAAGGCTGGCGACGAAAATGTCAACGTGTCATCGCAGCCGCCGCCGTCGCCGTCGCCGTGACCGTCACCGTCACCGTCGCCACCATTAAATGAATTTTAATTATCTCGATCGATCGTGCACGCACCGACTGAAATATTTAACGGACCGTAAACGATGCGGTGGCGACAGTATTCGATCGGTTAAATCAGCCGAGATCGATGCAGCAACGGAATCCGAAGGGAAACGCGTGGTTGATGAACGCTCTAAACGAATTTACCTGTTGTAATCGATTCGATCCGTTTAATGCTTGAAATCTGGAAATGTATTTCGATCGTGGCAACGGAGGAACTGTATTTACCTGGAGCGCATCGATGCAATTTGCCAGATTGTTCTGCGGTTTTCCGTTGAATGATGCACGGATACACTCAAAACGTTCCGCCGTTTAACCCTTTGCGGACGAACCTCGACGTTTCGGCGAGATTTTCGTATTTGGAACATTACGTGGCGAGTGATCTAATTACTCAAACGGCAAGAGACCAGCACGTGGTTTCCTTATCTTTATTATTTATGCGATCGACATAGAATTTAGCTTCATCTGTTAACCCTTTGCACTCGGAAGTTTCTCGCTAGAAATATTTAATATTTGACGAGACAAAGACGATGTTCTTTGAAGCAAACTCGAAGAAAAATTACAAGTATATCGAGGGACAAAGCTTTTATTCCATATTTCACATATCGAGGCATTACACAAAGTTCAACATTAAATATCATATTTTATAATTTCACTGCGTCGAATCAAGTGACTGAGAGTCACCTCTTGAGTGCAAAGGGTTAAAACCTGCTTTAACAATTTTTTCTATATTTATTTGTAGCACAATTGTACCTTTTGAAGGTAACATTTCAAATATTCTTGAATGAATAAATAGAGCGTCATGTTAAGCTGCAATTGAATGAACTGAAGTCGACGTGAACCTCAAAGCGAGGAACCAAGAGCACTTCGGACCGCAAAGGGTTAAAGGTTTCGTACATTTCAAAGAATCTTCGTCCGCGAAGGGTTAACCCTTTGCACTCGAGAGCTGACTCACTCACCACTCGATTTCATACAGTGAAACTATAAAATTTGATACTTAACACTAGGTTTACGGAACGCGTCAAATTGACGCATATTGGATTTTAGAAATATTATTCTGTAAATGTTTACGCCGATTTTGATTGACGTGACTTCTCTTGGAGTCAGTTTTACGAAATATCGTCTTTACCTCATTAGAAAATGTTACGATATTTCTAATGAAAAACGCCCGAGTTCAAAGGGTTAACTGCTTACCTGGCTCCGGATTTGTGACCCTCGCTTTGTTTAATCCAACGGTCCGGTGTGCCGCTCACCTTTCATTTAATCGCGGTTGCCCTACTTTGTATAACGTGCAAGCTTGCGTGACGTATCGTCAGATACTGTATACATAATTGAAAATTACGCGGCGAGTTTTCCTTCATTGATCCCTTTGAACTTTACGATCTCGTTTGGATTTAGCTGATTAACGTGCTAATTATACGTTTACCATTAGATTCTATTATGTTACGTTCTATTATACTATACTATTGCCTCTTATTTCACGCGTGAAATTCGCGATACGAACCACAGGTCTCTCCCCTTCTCGCGAGAAAACGTTGACGCTACAACGAACACGAATACAGGTTGAATTTTTAAAAGACGGAGCTCCGTGACGCCGTCGACGACTCGAGCGTAAATACCATCCGATATAAGAGTAACGTAGCTTAGCATCCGAGCTTGCACGCGTGCTTTGAGCAAAGTTGATTATCTGCCCGAGAATACCTGCACGTAAAACATTTCATATTCTAGCTACGGGCTCTCTATTAATAAACTCTCTATTAACTATTCCGAACAAAGAAAGAAAGCAGAAAAAATAAAACAGCAAGAGCTGCTCAATTAAATGAATCTTACGAAGCGATCCGATGCTCAATCGCGTCTTTAATCAGTTAACTGTGGAATTTAGTTTGAAAAATCTCTCATTGTGTGCGCGATAAAATCAAATAGTGAAGTGTATACTCGTTAAATTCAGGCCAAATGCACTTCAAATATATCCTAACGAAAAACTAAAGCGAAACGAGGAAGAATTACATGTTTGTCTTAAAAAATAAATAATCCATCGTTGAAAAAGTTAGCACCATTAAGAGTTTTAAGATGACTTGTATACTCGCCAAACACAGTTAACTGGTTAACGATCGAGGCAACGATGTTATCTGAAGTGATCGTGAGGTATAATAATTTTCTATAATCTCTTTCGTTACAGAAGTGCCTCACTACTCGAAATGCCTGGAAGAACACGGGGATCACATTCCGGTGGACGAAGTAAGTTTCAATATAAATACAAGTATTACATACTGATTCACTACGCAAAAATCTATCTAAACTCTACACGATCCATTCGAACGTTTTTGTTCCCGTGTTCGCAACCGAATCTATTTGCTTAATAGCAAACTTGTTCGGCTCGACGTCTAATCGACATGTGCACAACACATGCCAACGATGAAATAGCCGAGCGTGCGTCCACGTATTCGCTGCATAGTACGCTAAACACGGTACAACAAGTCTCCGGCGTGACCCAGTTCTCTTCCCAATTCAGGAAAATCCAACGAAAATATTTGTACGATTTAATGATCGTTACGCAGAGCGGACCGCGCGTGCGTGCTCGTCACGATCGAACCTTTTTATCGTTTCCCGCTGGCATAATACGCGCCCGCATAATACGAACCTCGAACGGCGAACAAAACCGCAGACCGATGGACGATGCGAATTCGTTTCAGGTGTTCACCTGGAACCTGGGCAGACCCGTCGACGAGGGGGAGGTATTGCAATTGTCGGTGGTGTCGCGTACCGTTCTGAGGAACGAGAAGGTGATCGCGAAGTACGGCTTGGTTCTGCAAACGGTGGTCCGAGAGGGCAGAATCCTGGTCACCGATTCGTTGGTAGATCTGAACAACAAGCCGCTTCCGGTACGTCGAAAACACCGGTCTCTCGCGTTAATCGGCTAGAATCGAAGTCTTCGCGCGTGACGTCACGATTCGTTCCTGGCGAATTCGTTTAACCCTCTATGGGCCAAATTATGTTTCATGATTATAACAGAATATCTGCCGAAATTAACGAATATGCACATATGAAAACGAATCAACGTATTCAATAGTTCGAATACTTTTATTAAATTAATATATTTTGTATCCTTCAAATTAGACATCGAACTTCCACGTCTGAGCGTGCAAAAGTTCAAGTTAACCGATTACTTCATTTTATTCACCGCTTTGCGGTGAAAAACGAAATAAATTAACAGGATGCCGGTACAGTGATACGCGACTTCAAAGTTACACGGGCCTACAAAGGGTTAATGTGCGTTGTAGGCCGTCGTTTGCTTCGAAATCCGATACAATCCGCCCGACGGGAGCTGCAGCTCGTACGCGATATCGGAGGTAATGGAGGACGAGCAACAGGCGCTGATCAACATCGAGCAGAACATCGCGAACCTCGAGAGGAGCTTCGAGCAAGCGAACTCCAGCTCCACCGGCGGCAAAAGGCGAGGCTCCTGGCAGAGCCCCGAGAAACTATTGAAGAAGGGCTTCCTGCACAGGGGTAGCTCCACGTCGACCACTGAAAAGTCACCCGACCGGAAGAGGTGAGGTGTCGTCGGCGAAAGATACCCTCCGCGCGATCGATTCCGTTCTTTTCGATCTCTTTCCGCGTTAATCTTTTCATCGGAAGCAAACGGAGACGTGAAACGGTATTGTAGGATGTAATAGTTGACGCGAAGTAATACTCGCAGGTTGAATTAAATTTCAAGAGGAAATTGTACACACGCTTTATTAAGAAGTTTGATTATAATTGCTCGTCGTCACGCTCGCACAACTCGACTACAATGTTTGCCCCGAAATTCTAGCGCACCCTCCATTTATGCAATCGCATAGTTCCATCTCGCACACCTTCCAGATTCTTCCATGCATTAGCTTCGTGCATATTTGGAATATTCTAGATTCACTCGAATGAACATCATTGGCGACGAGAAATCAATAATTTAAGGAATCAATACATTCTGGAATATTCCGAACACCATGAACATTCACGCGCACATGCATAATCGCCGTTCATCTATTTCTACCATACTCATCATCCGTTCGTACATTCATTCGCAGTATCATTATCTCTGCGCGTTCAACAGGCATCGGAAGAACGTTAAGAGCTTCGAAATTGCTTGAATACAATTACAATAAGAAAACTGATGTCGAAAAATACTTAGTAACGCGAACAGCTAGATGACAGTGCGACACGTGTACACCATTTGCCTTTGCTGTAAAAGAATATGTATTACACGAAACGTTCGGAATTCTCGTGGCAGTCAACGTGTTAATACGTCGATGCGTTAATACGTCGATGCGTTAATACGTCGATACGTTAATACGTGCGAAATGCATACACGCGCTCGTTAGTCTTTGAAAAACGCATGTACAAAGTAAACGATGTGCAAAGAACTGTCCACAGCCGATATCTTTTCGCGTGTTCGGCAAATTGGAGGGCAAATGCGGCAAACAAGGAGAATCAGTAGAATGAGAAGAACCGAGACAGACAGACCGAGCATCGAGGCTCGAGGCGCGAGACTTCAAAGCGATGCCGCGCGCGTCGAATGTAAACATGCAATAAAGGAAATATCAATCTCATTCACGTCAGTCTTACGATCGTTTCATCGGTTTTAAGGAATGAATCTTCAATTCTGTTGATCGCAAATTACATTCCGTGATCATTACTGCGAGAGTAGTCCGATTTACATCGTGTTTGGACTTATTTTAACCACGACGATCTCAACAATCCACTACCTTTGAGAAAGTAACACGGAAATTATGAAATCGAAAATTATGAATTATGAATTCCTTTACACTGGAACCGAATGCGTCAAAGTGACCCATGATTTTTCCAGTTATTCAACAGAGGACAGACGCTTCTCTGAAAAACTAGAGGAACTGGTTTGATAATACACAAACTGCATTTCAAACTAACCGAAGTCTCGGTAATTGCGCTGTTCAGGTTTCCACGGAACAATTTCGAAAACACAGTTTAACTGCTCGGTAGTTCTAGCGTTTATCGCCTGTTTTTCGAGCCTTTACTCTCATTCTATCGATTCTCCTTCGTGAAATTCTGCGCAGTGTCCCCTTGCCTCGTCTCTTTTTCATCTTTCGTCCACGGTCAAAATTCACGCAGTCCCGTACACTTTTCTCGCATTCTTTCAACTACTCAAGATTTTCCAAACGCAATCACATTTTCCAAACATCCCGGCGCCGGTCCGTCGCGATGCGACCTGTTCGCCCTTGCGTGCGCACGCACGACAAGCCATTCATCCTACAATATACAGATAAACGACGATCGTCTCGCGTGCAACAGGAATTCCACGCTGAGGAGCATGCGATCCTTCATGAAGCTGGGCAAGCAAAGGCCGTCGAGAGCCCGGTCCTGCGACAGCGGCTCCGATACGAGGGAATTGCTCGACAGAGGGGACTCGAGCTGCCCGACTTCCAACGAACCGACGAGAACGAACTCGTTGACGTCGTTGGAAACGAACAGCTCGGACTACGAGAGTCGCATCAACGGGATCGCGGACACGGTCCCGACGACGGCCGGCACCGAGACTGCCACCGCGACTACGACTGCGACAGCGACCACGGAATCGCAGGATGCGACGGTCAAACCAGCGAGAAAACCGAAACCAAAGGTATGCGCTCCGTAGTGCAGCTCCGACGAGGTGGCAGACTATCTGCACGCTGGACAGTCAGAGGGGCAGAGGGACTTGCCATTTACGATGATTGGAACGCATTCGAATTCGACGCGCGATCGGTATTGGCCAAACGGCGGTAATGTGGAGTAGAGATGTAACGATGGAGAAGAAATTTGGTGGCATTATGGAGTTACGATAGAGAGGAATATTCATAGTGCCATAACTTGGTTCTCTGTCGCTGCTGTGGATTTATGATAGAGATAAAATTCGTAGTGCACCAACTTTGTCCTCTAATGCCACTATATATTCACACTAGAGATTTAAAAATAATAAAACAACTGTCCCCACACACGTCATTCAACTCAATAAGTAAAAGTACCATGTCGCTAAAATGTCAGCGTTCTCTATAGCTACGAAGTTGCAGGAATCTCGGCACGTGTTCGTCATTGGTCGAGCCGCGAGGTGGAGCGTGCCGAATCCCCTTGCCCCTCTTCACTTTCGAGCCGCGGGACGGTCGCGATCATGTCAGTAACTGTACGCATTATTCGGATCGCGTTGCCAGGACTGATTGTTTTCTAGGCCACCGACACAGGGCAGGCCGCCTTAAAGGCGCAGGATTACCAGGTCTGCATCACCATCATAGAAGCGAGGCAACTCGCGGGATTGAACATGGATCCCGTTGTTTGCGTGCAAGTTGGGGATCAGCGGAAATACACCAGCGTCAAGGAGTCCACCAACTGTCCGTATTACAATGAAGTAAGCACGGTTGTAAAGAACTTTTCCTCGCGCCAGCGGACGCTGTGCTTGAATAACAACCGAGGTGACCGAGAACTTCGCTGTACGATACTTTTTACTTGAACTTTCAGTACTTCGTCTTCGATTTTCACATGCCGCCCGTGATGCTGTTCGACAAGATCATCACCCTTTCGGTAAGTTTCCTTTTACCCCAAGTTTCACATCTAATTTCATTGCCAGGTGCATTGCCGATTTTTCATTGAAACCATCAAATTTGAGTCGAGCCTTTCGTTGAGATGATAGATTGCTGATTAGTACGCTTCGCTTTTAACCCCTTGTCCTACAACGAGTGAGACTCGCGACGAAGATTTCCAACATGATTCAACAAATATATATATTACTCGGTTCATTCGAATGCAAAGTAAATATTATTCCTCAACTATTATACTTAAATGGAGATATAGGCGTAACGTATGTTTAGAATTTGTCTCTTTTTCCGATAAATTATTAATGACAAAGTAGCCGTATAGGCCAAGGGGTTGAGTGCAATGTTTTTCGATAACGTAGTCTGGAGGTGATACACCCGAGTGAAATCGTTTGCGAAGGTAAATAGAAACGATTAACAAGTAAAAATTACTCGAATCGATTGCGTTAGGTTTTCCTTTCTTGCGTAACCTTCCTCTGCATTGAAATAATACGAACTTTCCACTATACACCGCTCGCGGAGAGATGTTTCCTATGTACGATCGAACGCGTGTATGTAAGTGCATGTATCCTGAAGTAGCGAAAGCAAGTTCCTCAACTGATACTTTCACTTGGCGATTCGTAGCAATGCAAAATAAACGCAGGATTCGTATGGTGACCGATGATCGTGAATGCTTGCTGCGATCGGAATGCGCTCGGTGATTCGGTTTTCAAACGCAACGTTTCACTCGGGTCATACCTCGGTTATCATTAGGATAAGGCAAAGGCATTAATAATTGACCAGTTAAGAATGTTCCGCGTGAATTATGGTAAACGTTCGAAAAAGTTGTACTATCGAAATTTTACAGACGTCTTTGAGAATTCGATGCTTGTCAGAAGTTGAGCATCCTAAAACGAGATAACTAGTAGTTGATCATATATTGGTTAATTGGCGCTTATAATGAAATCAGAAACACTGAGATTACATTAACCCTTTGCACTCGGAAGCTTTTCACTATTTCCGACGATTATCAAAAGTTCTAAGTAAAAGGACAAACAGAAACGAAGAGAACTGAATTCCATGTAAGATCTAATTCAGGAACAGAGCGAAGTTGGATCGATCTTATCGAAGCTTATCTTATTCCTCGGGTTTCCCTGAAAAATGCTGAACCACCGGCATCGGGTCAATTAATGGTGTCTTTACCGTGCGCCGCGTCGAATTGATATTCCGGATGACAATATCGACGGGTGCGTCAGAACGAGGAAAGACGAGTCCGATAATAAAGTGAATTCTACGGAACGCACGGCATTCCTGTGTACGCGACCATTTCCCGAGATAATTATAGAATAGCCCGCGAACACAGAGGGAACGACAGCCGCGCGTTCGACGTTTGCGGAGGCGAACGAGCGGCCAATTGATTAACTTTCTACTGGTACGCAGGTGCAGCAATCGCGGAATCTCTTTCGCACTAATCTGACGCTGGGCAGCTTTAAATTAGACATCGCGACCGTGTGGGCGCAACCAGGTACAATATCTCACACGTACGACAGAGATGATACAGACTATTTTCAATCGTAAACGACCGATCCCTTTCGATCGATGTGTTCGACGTATCATTTCTTATTGAGACTAACAAGAGGGCTATAATCTGTTTTCGAATGAAACGTGCATTTTATAATACACATCTAGAAATAAAGAACCCTCACAGCTTTCGAAAGAAATTTAAGTTTGCATGCTACGCAGAATCTTTCCTAACACTAGAACTACCGAGCATTTAATACGATTAACCCTTTGAACTCTGTAGGCTGAATATTGCACCAGTTGTAATATTGAATATTTTAATGAATCAAAGAAACTACTCTAAAATTATTCGATTTTCGGGGGTCACCGGTGACCCTCACGGCATTCAACGTGTTAACGCTTTGTACAATGTGTCTCGCAAAGACGGCAAAGCACAGGCGAAGCTCAACTTCGCAAAGCGTGAACGGAGAGTATCGAAAAATCGGTCCGGCGCGAAACGTGTCGAGGTAGCTTAGCACGTAACAAAAGGTTGACCCGATAGATCACCAGTTCTACCACAAATGGGCGCTGCTGACGGACCCGGACGACATGGCGGGCGGGCCGAAGGGCTACTTGAAGTGCGACGTGAGCGTGATCGGGAAAGGCGACACCATCAAGGTGCCGCCGAAGAGCGAAAAGGACGAGGACGACATCGAGGAGAATCTGTTGCTCCCCGACGGCGTGCCGATCGAGAGGCAGCGTGCCAGGTTTATCGTTAAAGTATACAGAGCCGACGGTCTGCCGAAAATGAACAGCAGTATCATGGCGAACGTGAAGAAAGCTTTCACCGGCGAGGTGAAAGACCTCGTGGACCCTTACGTGCAAGTGTCCTTCGCCGGATTGACCGTAAGATGGCTTCAAATTCCGTATAACTCGTACACGATACACGAAAACACGAAACACCCGGTACATATCCGTCGTACATTGCACACAGTATTATGTCAGTATCGTAGAAGATGGCTTGCCTTCTGCACACCATGAAACTGGGAGGGAAGGAGGAGCCCTGATCCGTCTGTCGCGTGATTTAGGGCAAAACGAGTGTTAAGAAGCACAGTTACGCGCCGGTTTGGAACGAGCAGATCGTTTTCACGGAAATGTTTCCGCCCCTCTGTCAGAGAATCAAAATTCAGTTGTGCGACAACGACCCGGTCCACGCGACCGTGATCGGCACGCATTTCATCGATTTGAAGCAGATCAGCAACGACGGCGAAAGAGGATTCCTGCCCACGTTCGGCCCAGCTTTTATCCACTTTTACGGCAGCATCAGGGACTACAGCCTTATAGACGAGCACTCGACGCTGAACACCGGACTGGGAGAAGGCATTTCGTACAGAGCAAGGTTCCTATTTGTTTCTACTGGTCCGTTTCTCTTCGATTCTATCCTTTCGTTTCTCTCTTCTATACCCGTCGAATTCAGAGAATGAACTAACTTCTCGTTAGCGTTCGAGTACATGCGCGAGTTAATTCTTAACGGACTGGGATTTCAAGTTTTCGCCGCGAAAATATACCGTAACTTAGATAAGCGGAAAGGAATTCACACGAGTGACTTAGCACGATACTTAACGTGTTAATCCTTTGCACTCGAGCGGCGCCTTTCAATCGCCATTTGATTTGACCGAACAAAATGATCAAATTTAGAGTTCAATATCAAATTTTCTATAACGTATCGACGCATGGGACATCGAAATAAACTAGTTCTGTCGCTTCATTTGTACAAGGTATTTCTTTATGTTAGTTGTAAAAAAAATAATGAATATTTGTTGAGAAAATTATTCTCGAGTGTAAAGGGTTAATTGTAGATATTACAACGATAATAGTAATGAAACTAATAAAACGATTTTTCTCGTTATTTACGCGGTATGGGAGTCGATAAGTAAACGCGCCATGCCGTTAAAATGGCGGCGTTGCGCCGTTAAGAGTTAATATACGCGTGAAACTGTTGCACGGGACAGGAATCGGATTCTATTTGGATATCGTGAAAATGCGATGCGACAAGGAACAAGTTGAAACAATGACAATCCCTGTAATTCTAGATTACTGATAGCGATTAGGACAGAAATAAGCGACAACGTCGAAATGGCGTCGTCGGAAGTCGAGGTCGAGCCTACCGTGCCTATCAACGAATCCGCTTACGCCAAGAACGAGGAGTTCTTTCTGTTCGTGACGATCATGGACGCCACGATGATCGACAGGAAGCTCGGCGACAAACCGATGTACTTCGAGATATCGATAGGGAACGCGGGGAACGCTTTGGACGGCCACAACGAAAGTTCGAAGGTAAACTTGGCGTAAAAATTCCAAAAATAATCTAACTGGGAACTTCACTGTACATCTTTCCAACGATAGAATGTAAAGTCACTTTAATTTCACTTGCGCGATGTACACGGGAGAGATGCAAGGTAAGTGAAGTAACGAACAAAAGTTGCAATATCAGATGTGCGAGATGGGACCGAGGGGCGGAGACCAGGAAGAGTTGCTGGAGGTGTTGAGCGGATCCTGGCAGAGCACCACTCCGCCGAGTAAACCGATGACGCACGACAAGATTTACTATTTCATACCGTACTGGGACGACAAGCCCTGCATCCACGTGCGAAGCGTTTGGCCCGATTACCGGCGCAGAATGTACAACAGCAACATAATCAGCAAAATCGCGGACAAGCTGGTAAGTCGAACGGAGCGACGGGAGAGCAGGGAACGCGACTGACAATGGCCGACGTTGTGCTCGCTTAGGAAGAAGGACTGTCGGAGGCACAAGCGCACGCGGACGACTCGTCGGGCGAGAAGATACTGAAGTCCACGCTCGAGGAGTTGAGCAGCAACTGCAACCGGTACGTCGGCATCAGCAAGTCGAGCCTCACCGGGCCGGGGGTCGGCAAGACGAAGCTCGACAAGGAGAGGATGAAACTGTGCCAGAGAGAACTGGAGAACATAGGGGTGATGTCGAGGAACCTGAAAGCCGTGGTCACGAAGAGCAGCTTCAAAGAGAGGCTGAAGATGGCTCAGAGCTACCTGCAGAAATTGAAGTTTCTACTCGAAGATGTGAGTGATTAGATACTTTGTTATCGAGAAAGTCTGCGATGTTTCGCTTCAAATTTGGAATACAACCGTTTGGATGCCGACCACTTTCTCAGATAAACAGTATATTGATAATGATTAAACCAGTAGTCGACCAGTTAGGAATGTTCTGAATAATGGTAATTTGCTTCTTTATTATTTTCCAATGATTACGAGAAATTACAAGTGAAATTGAAGGCATACAACCGACGTCAATGAAATTGGTAATTTTCACGATAAACGATTTCTCACGTTCCCCTGAAAAATGGCTAACTACTGGTAGTTAATCACCGTTGCCTCTACTTCACTGTTCAAGCTAATTATCTAACGGATTGCATTAAGAGAGTAACGAAGAGAAATTGCATTCGCAGCCTCAAGATTCATTACCGGACGTGTTTATCTGGGTAATTAGCGGCGGTCGCCGGGTTGCTTATCAAAGAATACCCGGCAGGGATTTGATTTACTCGATCGTGGACGAGGAGTGCGGTAAACACTGTGGCAAGGTGCAAACGATGTTTCTCAAGGTACACACATTCTCTTCTCTAATACCTCGAGTCAATGCAGACACCATCAATTTCGTTGTGAAAATACGACGCGTGATAGCTTCCAGGAAAGAAAAGATTCGGGCCGCCGGGCTGGGCGATACAGACGAAACTGCAGATCTATATGTGGCTGGGGATCTTGAAGCACAGGAAGTATTGCATTCAAGGATTACCCAAGGGGTACGAACTCGGCCACGAACTTCGGAACATCGACAGACCAAGGGCGCTGCCACCGGTCGTCATTCATTACGTTGAAAAACACGTGAGTGCCTGTCGAACAGAAAACAGAGAACAGATTTATTTAGCATTAATGACAAGTTTTAGAAAATAAACTCTCAACCCTTTGCGGGTGAATGTTTGGTACATTTCAAAGAATCTTCCTCCGCAAAGGGATAATTGTTAACTCGCATGCGCTGACAGTCGAATAAAGAAGCTTCCACGACGATTAAGAAACTCGTGTAACTTCACTAAAATCTTCCAATGATCATTGAATAGAAATTCCAGTTGAGAGCGCACATGTATCAAGCCCGATCTCTGATCGGCAGCGACGCGTCCGGTCTCTCGGACCCGTTCGCGCGAGTGATTTGCGGCGAGTTCTGCAAATCGACGCAGGTGATCGACGAAACGCTGAGCCCCACGTGGGACGAGCTGCTGATATTCGACGGCATCCTGATATACGGGGTCGGCGAGGAAATCAAGAAGGACCCGCCGTCGATCGTCATCGAACTGTTCGACCAGGATAAAGTGGTATGTCAGCTGAAACGATGTTCGCGTCGATCGGTTCTTCTTGCCATTCTCACGTACACTCCCCCCGATGAACCGTAAGAAATATACGAACGCTGACACGGCAATCGATCTCTTACCTTCTTCTGATTCTGTTCGCAGAGTGATTTTCTAACTATGGACATAACACTGCATGAGGGTTCTGCTTTAACAGTTTCCGTCCGACATACGACATACGACATACGACATACAGAATCACACAATTCACCACTCGCCACAACACTCTCGTAGCCACCACACCGTATACGTGCGAATGCGAGTGTGCGGATGCGCTTCCACTGAACCTAACAAGTAGCTAGCATGACTCGCCGCGTGTCGATAACCGAACGATAATCGTGGATCACGGATGGCGGGATGTCCTTCGTTCGAACAACGAGACACCAGCCGTAACTGCTGTGCAAGTGCCAAGGGAAGGAAACGACGGGAAAGGATTTCTGCGAAATTTCTAACGACTCGAGAGAGAGCGAACATTCGGTTGCTGAAGGGAATGCCTGCTGATTCCAGGGGAAATCAGAGTACATTGGCCGAGCGGTCGCGCGGCCCCACGTGAAACTGGTCTCCGATTGTTACGCGCCGCCGGTGTTCCCTCCGTGTCTGGAGTGGCACGACGTCACCAGAGGGAACGCGAGGGCCGGAGAACTTCTCGCTGTCTTCGAGTTGCTCGAGCACCCCTCGACGAAAGACTACGGGTTCCCGACGCTGCCGGATCCGAAGGAAAGATCGGGTCAAACCGTTGGCTCCGCCGGCGTGCCGGTCACTCCAACTTCCGTCGGGCAGGATCAGGGACCTATACTTCCGGTGCCGGTCGGCATCAGGCCGACCCTCGCCAAGTATCGGTAAGCAGCTTCCAACGCGAATCTAGATACAAATTGCAATGGCAGTCGTATATTTGTAACTTTATTCTTAACACTTCACCGACCGATAGCCTATTAATCTTTTTGTAACTGATGCTTAGTCTGAAAATCTCGAGTGACTGGGCCGTGAGAAAAGCGTGTACGTGAATTTTAACTATGGACGAAAGGTGCGAGTGAGAAGGGTGCAAGGGTAAGAAAGACAAAGCGAATGGGGGTGTGTCTGTGGCTGAGCGGCCGGTCGGTAAAGCGTTAAGTATGGAATCTCGATCGAGCTGCCTAAGAACCAACAGACTTTCAAAGCGTGAACGCGTTGCAATTGATTCGTCCCTCTGTTGCTTGCTTCTCTGTCCCAGAATCGACGTGTTATTCTGGGGACTGAGAGACCTGAAAAGGATACACCTGCTAACCGTGGACAAGCCTCGCGTGGACGTCGAATGCGCCGGTCACATCCTCTACTCCTCGGTTATAGCGAACGCCAAGAAGAACCCGAACTTCGGCACGCCGTTCAAGTTCCTGGAGCTGGAGCTGCCGGAGCAGGAGCTGTATCGGCCGCCGTTGACGATCAGGGCGGTGGACTGTAGGAGCTTCGGCCGGTACACGCTGGTCGGCACGCACACGATCAACTCGATTCACAAGTACATGTACTGTCCGCAGACGAAGCGGGCCAAGGAGGCCGAGGAGAGGAAGAAGAATCTGTACCAGTGGCAGCAGTACACAGGTGAGGGAAGAACTACCGATTTCGACTCGAAGGTTCGGCGTGTTCGAAAATCGAAAAGGGAACGAGACGCGTTCGTTTCACTGCGCAGCTTTCGACACGCCGAAAACGAAGTACCAGCAGGCGTGTATACTGGAGTCTCTGGCCGACCTCGAGTTCGTCTGCGGCGACACTGCCATCGTGCTGGGCCTGGAGCAGGACTGGCCGACGAAGAAGGACAAGACCGAGCAGAACATACGGAAGAAGCAGAGTCTAGCTTACGACGGGAGCACAGGTAAACCGTAGCTGAGCCACTCGAACCGAGTAAAACCGAAGCTCGATCCTCTCAGGAGACTTCGGCGCGTTCGAGGACGAGGACGGCTGTCAGGACTGGTGGACCAAGTACTTCGCTTCGGTGGAAGTCATGATCGAAGAGAACAAGGAGCTCCGCAAGGAGAACCCGATGTTCCAAGCTCCGTCGAACGGCACGGTCCCAATCTACCTGGAGGAGACTTGCAACCAAAGTCGAGGGAACATCTCTGGCGAGAAGAGTCCTGTCGGCACCGGTGTTGGCGTTGGTGTCGGTGCTGGAGGCACTGGTGTCGGCACCGGTGTCAGTAACGCCGGCAGTGGCTCGAAGAAGGTGTTCGGGATAAAGTCGGGCGCGAACGCTGCGAAGTCCGCCTCGAAGGTCAGCCCGAAGCACGGCTCTCAGCGGTTCCCGAGAACGGCGCTCCTGAAGATCTATCCGAACGAACTGGAGGCCCAGCCGGAGTTCGAGCAGTTCAAGGAGTGGCTGCACACGTTCGAGCTGTACCGCGGCAAGAAGACCGGGGACGAGGTCGAGGACGAGTCTCGGATCGTCGGGAGCTTCAAGGGCGCTCTGAAGGTCTACAAGTGGCCGCTTCCCAAGGACCTGATAGATCACACGGTGATGGGCTTCGACCCGCAGTATGGATTCTTCCAAGGCGTGCCGTCGAACGACCCGATTCACGTGCTGGTGCGAGTCTACATCGTCAAAGCGAACGACCTGCACCCGTGCGACCTGAACGGCAAGGCGGATCCGTACGTGGTGCTGCAGCTGGGCAGCAAGCGGTTCACCGACAAGGAGAATTACGTGTCGAAACAGCTCAATCCTATTTTCGGCAAGTACGTACATAAATATGGTGCCATCAGCTAGGTACAATCGGTAGACTATCGCGTGTACTGCTACCGATGAGAACTGTGCTGCACTCCGACGTTGACTGTCCAACATTGCAATGTCCAAGGTGTTTCGAAATAGAGGCTACCTTCCCGCAGGACTCGCTGCTGACTGTCCAAGTGCTGGACTGGGACTTGGTCGGCGCGGACGACATGATCGGCGAGACGAAGATCGACTTGGAGAATCGGTTCTACAGCAGGCATCGCGCCACTTGCGGCCTGCCGAAACGATACGACGAGTAAGCGTACGATTCCAGGCATTTCGCACTTTCCAGAATGTTTCTTACCGATCTTTCTCCAAACTGATAGCGCTGACGACTCCACAGACCATAGAAATGTCCACATCGCGCGTCTCCGTTTCAGATCCGGTTACAACAAGTGGAGGGACGCGACGAAGCCGACCCAAATCTTGTCCAAGCTCTGCAAAGACGGGAAAGTCGACGGTCCTGTGTATTCGCATGGTCGAGTGACGATCGGCAGGAAAACGTTCTCCTTGACCAACGAGGAAATGGAGTGCTATGTTCACTCGAAGGGTACGAGCTACGTAGTTTGCGTTTGCTGTTGAGACGTGAAGGGATACTAACTCTTTGCACTCCGAGGAATTTTTTATATAACCTTCCAGCAACTCCGAATCAGTTTTAACACTAGGTTTACTTATCTTACAATGTCAACGGAGTGCAAAGGGCTAACGCTGTTTCCCAGGGATAGAGGAACACCTCGCGCTGGCGGTGCTCCATCAGTGGCACGTCTTTCCGAGGATCGGTTGCGCGTTGGTCCCCGAGCACGTGGAAACGCGACCGCTCTACAATCCTGAGAAGCCGGGGATCGAGCAGGGCAAGCTGGAAATGTGGGTCGACATGTTCCCCATGGACATGCCTTCTCCCGGGCCGCCTATCGACATCTCGCCGAGGAAGCCGAAAAGTTACGAGCTCAGGATCATCATTTGGAACACGGACGACGTTGTGTTGGAAGACGATGCGTTCTTCACCGGCGAGAAGATGAGCGACATTTACGTGAAAGGGTTTGTTCCTTCTTCTTCTTATTTCTTTACAGTTACTCTTCTTAAAAATACTTTAACCTACGCTAAAAAGTTCTAGATACTACAATAGTAACCGTGACTGTTTCGACAGGTGGCTGAAAGGACCGGAAGACTGCCAATCCACCGACATTCATTACCGGTCTCTGACCGGAGAAGGGAATTTCAATTGGCGCTTCATATTTCCGTTCGATTACCTCGTAGCAGAAGAGAAGATTGTCATCAATCGGAAGGAGAGTCTGTTCAGTTGGGATGAGACGGAGTGCAAAATTCCAGCGCGCTTGGAGTTGCAGGTTCCTAATGATACGTCGTTAATTGCGTCGAATTCTCTCCAATAGTTTGCTCTATTCTCTTCTTTACTGCAGGTTTGGGACGCGGATCACTTCTCGGCCGATGACTTTCTAGGCGCCATTACCCTCGACTTGAACAGATTCCCCCGGGGTGCGAAGAACAGCAAGCTCTGCACGCTGAGCATGCTGAAGACCGACGGGACCGTGCCGAACGTGAACATCTTCAAGCAAAAGAGAATAAAAGGCTGGTGGCCGTTCTACGTGAAGAAGGAGAACGAGGACATGGAGTTAACGGTATGATATTTCGTTCATCGTTTCTTTCTTTGAGATATGGTGTACATTGCAAGGATATTTACCAGGGAAAAGTGGAGGCGGAGATTCATTTGCTGACCAAAGAGGAGGCTGAGAAAAATCCTGCTGGCTTCGGTCGAAACGAACCGGATCCTCTTGACAAACCAAAGTAAATATACGTGAATACTTTGATTTAGATCTAGATGTAGATTTAGATGTAGATTTACATTTATTTCCCTTCGGGTTTCAGTCGTCCAGACGCGTCTTTCATGTGGTTCTTGAATCCCCTGAAGTCTATCAAGTACATCGTCTGGCACAACTACAAATGGGCAATTTTAAAAGCTATTATTACCCTCGGGATAGTAACACTGTTATTATTGTTCTTCTATGCGATACCCGGTTACTCTGTGAAAAAATTATTAGGAGCTTAGATTCATGGCAATATGAATACACGTACGCGCTTGTGTACCATGGTACAGGTTGCACGTGTACATTTTTCTTATTAACGTTCAACTGTAAAGAAACTCGATACGCTGAAAATAGTATTTTGATATAGTAGCGAGAGAGATATATTAGATGTACATACCATCGTTAACGTTTATTCTCACGCATACTTTCGAGAACGTATCTTGCATTCGGTTGCGTTAATTTGATCAATGCATTTAACGGAAGCAATGCTTCTTATAAATATATATATTGTTATTATGCGGAACAATTTAAAAGACTTTTATGAAGTTTATGCGAGTATTACCATGGCATATCTTGTAAGGACTTCAATCTTAAGGATCTCAATTTTAACTTATTACTTACTACGTAACAGCACAATTACAAATACCAACAGATACTTTACATACCGTGACATATATGCATTTTCCGATCCATTTTTAATGGAGGAATAAAAGGTATCTCGGGTTGTACAACGCGCGAGCAGAGGTGGGAGTATTCCGATTCACGCTCGTCTCGAAACAAGCGTTTTTATTACACACTATTGTTGTATAGCGGACCAACGAAGCTGTAGAAAGGATCAAGCTCTGTGTACATAATTAGGAATCAAGAGAATTAATTAAGAATCGTTGCATACAGAACATACGGGCATATACAGCATATAGAATTTTTATGAGAGATTCCGTTATAAATATAGTATTTTATTTCGTTGTAAATAACTCAACATGTAATTGATCATTGAACATTAAAGATTAATTCTGAAAATACAACCAGTGTACGATTAATCCTTTGATAAATCTACGGAGAGCGAATCAAATTTGTTAACCATGCTCGGTGTCTCTGATTCCTCGCCGGACGTATCGTCTGAATTCTCTGATTTCTCTCCTTTCAGTTTCGAAGTATCGCTAGATTCATCTGTATCTTCCTCATCCTCAGACGACGAATGCAATCTTCCTTCGTCTTTAAAATCCTCCTTGTTTCTAGCTTGAATCCATTTCACTAATTCAACGTCTGGATGGGTCTCCCATTTTTCTGTAAATATTGATTTATTAGAATGCGATAAAAAAGAATGTTTAGAACAATTCGTTTCGTTTTGAATCATTCTGAACAATTCATTATGATCTTACCTTTATTATCAACCCAACCCAGTGGGTAGACGTGTATACAAATCTTTGCCTCTAACGCCATTCTTAGTAAGGAATTAGCTGCTCTGTAAGTATCGAGTCTAGCAGCTCGTGCAGTTATAAAATTTCGTTTGCGAGCCCAACCCTCGCAAATATCTATCGCAGACCACGTTTCATCGTTTTCTGGATGCTGAATTTTCAACAGGTTTGGCAAGTCTATTCTTTCTGCCAAAAACTTAATTGTCGAATATGGTTCCCTGACTTGAGCTATTGGAAAAGAACCCATCAAAATCTGCAATTGTTTTGGTACAGTTGACGGAAATACCAGTCCTGGACAATCGCAGAGACAAACTGTTTTCGTGAGGAATATTGTTTGAAAATGTTTTGTATGCCCAGGAGTGCGCGATACGCTTACAACTTTCCTTCCTGTACAATATACGCATACAAGGATTTACCATTGAAATCTTAATATTCCTTCTATTTCTCTAATGCTATATAAGTGGAATTGTTGTTATTTACCCATCAGCGCATTCATCAGAGATGATTTTCCAACATTTGGGGTTCCAATACAACCAATAGTTAACACTCCATTTTTATACTGTTCGTGTTTATAGTAACTTGTATCTTTTTTTTCAATGGTAACAGTATCTTTATGATCTATATCGTTTAAATCAGATTCAAATTGCATTTCTTCCTGAATTTTGTCATGCCAAGAACTCAAATCCACTTTATCCCCCACAATTTCTTTACAAGTATCCAATAATTTTTGAGCCCCTTCTGCAGCCATTTTTAATTTCCCTCTCCTATGTCTTTTTTTAATGCCTTCTGTATCATTTATATTACCATGTAAATTATAAGTGGGATAAGATGTAAACATTAAAATGTGTAATTTTGGGTATGTAACATGAAAGTACTCTTTCCATGCTACCACCAGTGCTGGAGAAGCTAAATCAACTTTATTCAAGACTAGAATCATATCTTTCTTCAGTTCGTTTGTTATATGGTGATATAAATATGGAGGAAACATTAGAACAGGATATCTGATATCAACAATAATTAATAGAACATCAGAGATTTCTAAAACTCTCCACAATTGCCTCCATGTTTCTAGATTTAATTCAAAATAACTTACAGTACTTAATTTTTCCATATCTTTCAGGTATTCCTAAGAGCAACAATTTATTAGCTAATTTTAAATCTACATAAAAGTGAACTTAAACAAAAATTGCAATTGCTTACAGTAAAGTACTTTTGCTCTTTCATCTCTAATTGATCTTTAGACATATTGAAATTCCATGGTGGTCTTTTAGGCATATCAATTTCCGGTGGGAAATAATTACTAGAAACTTCTTGTTCTTTAATGGATAATCTTTCGATCGTGCTTCTAGCTTCTTCCTTCCGCTTTAACAATTCTTCTTTACTTTCTTGGAAAAATTGTAAAGTGTATCTATTTTTAGAACTGTTACCATCCTTTGGTTGTTTGTTAATCTTTTGTATAAGTTTAGATACAGAATCAATATTTGAATTTTCTCCAATGCTCCTAATGTAATCATCAGCTATTCGTGCGTAAGATAAAATTATAGGTCATTAGATATTATAAATGCTTGTAACAAAAAATATCTTGCTAATTAGTGTATAATACTTACAAGACATAAGAGGATTTTGACGTTGTTTTTTAGCTTGTAATTGTTGCTTCTTTGCTTTGCCACTGAATGGCTTTTTTCTTGTTCCTTGTGGCATTTTTTAAGGTTTCTTAATTTTCAATATTCAACAAATTTAATATAAGATATTTCATATGTTAAAACAATGGGTAATGATCAAAACGCACAAGCCCAATCAACCTTAGTTACCATTGTTGCACAGTCCGTACATAACTTAAGTCTGAGCTGTTTCTACCTGGTTTACCATACTTACTACTTGGCCACCTTCGATCATTGTGCTTTATGTAGTTTTCCTATTGACTGTTGTTTTCTAGGCATAGAGGGCAGAGCCTCCAACTTTTTATACAGTCGGTAATTCAAAACACGTGGCACCGTGTCCCATAAGTTTGCAATAATCTATCCCATACCTTGTCTGTACTATTATATTTGATAACAATGTGTCCGATAAAAAATTACTTTAATAGAGTTAAGTTCGGAATCATTATCATAATTAAGAAAATTTGCTGAAGTTTATTAATAATACTATCACGATAACGAATCGACTAAATATTCGTTTACTCGGTCGGTATCTCAGACCATTGAACATCACATCCTATGGAATAAGAAATCTATCCTATCCCTCGTCTATGGCGTTACTTGTTGCTAAAGCTTTGTAAATACTATCACCATGCGGCAATATTTTCTTAACCTTAATTGTTTGTAATCACTGAGTGATATTCGTTTTGACGATGCAAGATATTATTAATACAACTATTGAGAACTATAAAACCGATCTGTAATTTTTATGTATGTGCGTATTATTTTATTACATGAATATTGTACTGAAGGTAAGAATTTCGTATTGTTTTGATATTAGGTTATGCTATTAGAAGTAATACAATTGTTTAATTGAAAAGACAGAAAGTTGTTCCTTTTTAGACATCGACATTAAAGTGTAAAAAGATTTATCAAAATGGTACTAAACAAATATCGGCCACCACGGTTAACTCCAAAACATTTGGATCCGAGCTGCTTGATGTTTTCTATGTTTACTGCAAACGATATACGTAATTTAAGCGTCACCAAAATAAGGACACCCTTATCATTTAATGTATTGGGACATCCATTAAAAGGAGGATTATATGATCCATCATTAGGTAAATTATTTTCATTCAAACAATATTCTTAATTCATTGTTTGTCCATTACTGTCTGTTATTACACAGTGTAATGTTTTATATTGTTGCTTATGAATTAATGAATGTAGACTATATTAATTTATACATGTAGATAAAAATAAGTTTATTTAATTATTTAGGTCCATTACAAGAAAGTTCAGATCCATGTGGAACATGTGGATGCAATGTATATAAATGTCCAGGTCATTTTGGTCACATAGAATTACCTGTTCCAGTTGTAAATCCACTGTTTCATAAAGGATTGTTTATGCTGATCAAACTAACATGTTTACAATGTTCCCTTTTACAAATTCCACCATATGTAAAATTATTATTGCAAGCAAAATTAAGATTACTTCAAAAGGGATATCTTACCGATTTGGAAGGGCTGGAACAAGAAGTAATGATTCTTGTTGCTAATTCAAACAATCCTTACGAAATTGATACGCAAGTAATACAAGATGTGATTGATGGTTATATAGAGGCTATTATTAATAAGTCCAGATTTAATCAATCCATTGTACAGTACGATGAAGTGCAATTCAATACAAAGATTATCAATATGCAATGGCATACGTACGTTGAAAACGTCCTTAAACAGTACACAACACCAAAAATTTGTGTCTTTTGTAAAGAAGTCATACCAAAAGTGACAAGTTTAAAAAATAAAATTATGACGATCAAAATGACCGATACCGTTACCGAAAGACATTCAGGCGGTGCAGTTCATAAATTAGAAACAGTAATGGTAATGCCAAACCAGTCTAAAGAATATCTCAGAAATCTTTGGCAAAATGAAAGAGATTTCCTCAAAGTTATTATTCCTTGCTTTGGAATGGTAGATATTGAATACCCAACAGATATATTTTTCTTTGAAGTGATACCCGTTTTACCACCTATAGTTCGACCAGTCAATTATGTCAATGGACAAATGGTAGAACATCCGCAGACTCAGGTCTACAAAAGTATTATTCAAGATTGTCTTGTCCTTAGAAATATTATTCAAACAATGCAGGATGGAGATACAAATCAATTACCAGAAGAAGGTAGACTCGTTTTCGAGCAAATAAAGGGTAACACTGTGACAGAAAAATTGCACAATGCTTGGCAAAGTTTACAAGTAAATGTAGATCATTTAATGGATCGTGATATGAACAGAACAACAGACTCCGCCAATTGCCAGGGTCTAAAACAAGTTATAGAAAAGAAGGAAGGTGTTATTAGAATGCACATGATGGGTAAACGAGTTAACTTTGCTGCTCGTTCGGTCATCACACCTGACCCCAATTTAAACATAGATGAAATTGGAATTCCTGAGACCTTCGCATTGAAATTAACATACCCAACACCTGTTACACCTTGGAACGTTGTACACCTACGCCAGTTAGTTTTAAATGGTCCTGATGTTTATCCTGGTGCAGTACTGATTGAAAATGAAGATGGACGTATACAACGCATCTCCCCAGACGATGCTGTTCAAAGAGAAGCTACTGCAAAGCGTCTTTTAACGACCAGTGACAGAGCGAACAAATTCTTTAAAGGTATAAAAATTGTACATAGACATTTACAAAACGGAGACATCTTACTGCTGAATCGTCAGCCAACTTTGCATAAACCTAGTATAATGGCCCATAAAGCGCGCATTCTAAAAGGAGAGAAAACGCTGCGCCTTCATTACGCTAATTGCAAAGCTTACAACGCTGACTTCGATGGCGACGAAATGAATGCGCATTTTCCACAAAATGAACTTGCCAGAAGCGAAGGATATAATATAGCGCATGTACCTAATCAGTACCTTGTACCAAAGGATGGTACACCGTTAAGTGGTCTCATCCAAGATCACATGATTTCTGGCGTACGTCTAACCGTAAGGGGAACATTTTTCACCAAGCAAGATTACATGCAATTGGTCTACGCTGCTTTGTCAACGATTCAGGAAAACATAGTTCTTCTTCCACCTAGTATTATAAAACCGGAACCTCTATGGTCTGGGAAACAGATTGTATCTACTGTTATTATTAACATCATACCACCGAATCAAGCGCGTATCAATTTAACGTCGAACGCCAAGATCAACGCAAAAGAGTGGCAGACTGGAAAGGCGCGACGTTGGAAATGCGGTACTGAATTTTCAGATCCAAAAACAATGTCGGAAGCCGAAGTAATTATACGAAACGGAGAATTATTGTGTGGTGTACTCGATAAAACACATTACGGTGCTACCCCGTTCGGTCTTATACACTGCGTATTTGAACTGTACGGTGGAGTCTGCTCCACAACGTTGCTAAGTGCTTTGGGTAAACTGTTTCAAGCTGGATTGCAAAGGAACGGCTTCACACTTGGTATCGAAGACATCTTATTAGTAAAGAAGGCAGACAAGAAACGCAAAGAAATTATTTCAGAGTGCAGACAGATTGGAGAGAGTGTCCAGAAGTCTATACTAGAGTTACCTGAAGATACACCAATGGATGTGGTCTCAGCTAAGATGGAAGAATCTTATTGGAGTAATCCAAAATTCCGTACACAGGTGGACAGAAAATACAAAAGTGCGTTAGACGTGTACACTAATGATATAAACAAGGCGTGTTTACCAGCTGGTCTTCTAAAAAAATTCCCACATAATAACTTGCAATTGATGGTACAATCTGGTGCGAAGGGCTCAACTGTAAATACTATGCAGATATCATGTTTATTGGGACAAATTGAATTGGAAGGAAAAAGACCACCTTTAATGATAAGCGGAAAAAGTCTTCCAAGCTTTCCTGCTTATGACCCAACGCCAAGAGCGGGCGGTTTCATTGATGGTAGATTTATGACAGGGATTAAACCACAAGAATTCTTTTTTCACTGCATGGCTGGCCGTGAAGGTCTCATTGATACAGCTGTAAAGACCAGCAGATCAGGATATCTACAACGATGTCTTATCAAGCATCTTGAAGGATTAGTTATCAATTACGACTCAACGGTACGTGATTCAGACGGTAGTTTAGTGCAGATTTATTATGGGGAAGATGGACTTGACATACCAGGTTCAAGATTCTTAAAAAAAGAACAAATCGACTTCTTGGTGCACAATAGAGATGCTATTATTAACAAACAGATTATCGAAAGTCTGAAAGAAGATTCTGATACGAGTAAAATTTTGAAGCTAGCCAAGAAAATTAAAAAATGGGAGAGTAAGAATGGCCATGCGTTACAGAAGAGGAGAATTAGCCCTTTCACAAAATTCTCTGCACAGCCTGTAAAGATTAAAGCCGCAAAGTTCAAGGAAATTGATGAAAACAGTGGAAGAAGTAAAGCTGCACTTTCGCTCATGAGAAAGTGGATAAGAGCACCCGAAGAAGAAAAAGATGCTATTTATGCGCAATGTGTTAGATGTCCTGATCCGATAACGTCGCATTACAGACAAGATGTAGATTTCGGTGTACTGTCTGAGCGACTGGAGCATTTAATAGACGAATATATTGCTAATAAATCTACAGAGTCTCCAATAAAACGGAGCGACTTAAGGGATCTTTTATCCATGAAGGTGATGAAGATTGTTTGTCCACCTGGTGAACCTGTAGGTTTATTAGCAGCACAGTCAATCGGCGAGCCATCCACTCAGATGACACTGAACACTTTCCATTTTGCTGGTCGTGGAGAGATGAACGTCACTCTGGGTATACCCAGGCTACGTGAAATACTCATGATGGCATCCAAAAGCATTAAAACACCCAGCATGGAAATACCCTTCAAGAAGGACTTGAAAAATATATCAAAGCGGTCTAATAAACTGAGACTAAAACTGACTAAGTGTGTTTTAGCAAATATTTTAAATAACATCACCATAGACAGGAAAATGGAACAGTGGCCAGATAGACGATTGGTGCATACAATGACCCTACAGTTTTTCCCATACAAAGCGTATAAAGGGGAATTTTGCATTCAACCGCATGATGCACTGAAAAAGGCGGAAGAAGTATTTTTCAAGGCACTGTTTAGGGAAATTAAAAAAGTTGCCAAAGTGACAGGTGCCTTGTTACACATTGAGGAAGAGAAGAAGTCTACCAATGATGATGATGCTCTGTTGGATCAAACTGAACCGGATGAGAGGCCATCGTTGAAATCACGATCAAACTTAGGAGAAATGCATGAGTCCTCGGATGAGGATGAAGCAGCGGAAGACGCGGACGCGACATTGACTCGATCGATTTCTCGACATAGAGAAAATCAAGAATATGAAGACCCGGAGGAAGAGGAGGTAGATGATGTAAATGATAAAGATGATGACACTACTGTTGAAAATAATGAAAGCTCAGACCGTATGGAAGACCAACAAAATGGGGATGGAGATGAAGACATTGAAGGTGAGAAATCGGATGATGTGAGTGAAATATACAACAAACAAAGAAGAAGAGATATAACAAACATGTATCATCATGCAATAGAGTATGACTACGACGAAGAAAAATACTCGTGGTGTAAATTAACATTTTGGGTACGTATTCAAATATATTTATCGCTTATTTTTCTTTTATAATCGTAGGAATATATTTATATTTTATTCCATTCTTCAGCTGCCACTTAAAATGATAAAACTGGACTTGCCAACAATCATTAGAAACGTTGCGAACAGAGTTGTTTTATGGGAAGTACCATGTATAAAACGAGCTTTTACATTCCAAAATAATGATGGAGAAACTGTCCTCAAAACTGATGGTATAAATATAATAGTAAGTAGAATATAAATTTAATATTGTTTGTAATGTTATATTTTATTTTAGAAGTTCATTAATTATATTTTTTTATATTACAGGAAATGTTTAAATACGACAGGTCATTAGATTTGAATAAATTGTATTCCAATGATATTTATGGTATCTCCCAAACATATGGTATTGAAGCAGCCAACAGAGTTATTGTAAAAGAAGTGAAGGATGTGTTCAAAGTATATGGTATTACGGTTGACTCTCGTCATTTGTCGTTAATTGCAGATTATATGACATTCGATGGTAGATTTCAACCTCTCAGTCGAAAAGGAATGGAAGATTCTGCATCTCCTTTACAACAAATGAGCTTTGAAAGTTCCCTTAATTTCTTAAAACATGCTACATTACAAGGTACGTGTATTTATATGTAAATGTTCGATGAAAAACAAAATTATTATGATATAGATCATTTAATATGTATGATGTATTTTTAGGAAAACAAGACAATTTGGTATCTCCTTCTAGTCGATTAATGTTAGGCCAGCCTTGCAAATCTGGTACTGGAGCCTGTGCACTATTACTAAAAATGCAAAAACAACCAGAGGTTACTTTGTCGGTAGACGCATAACTGTAACATTTATATTTTATTGAAGCAATGTATTTATAAATTCAATCTTTTATGGTACATTTCAATACCCTATTCCCTACATTATGAAAAGATAACAAAATGGAATAATTTTATTGTACATAAATTTGTAGAAACCGGTTACATATTTTATTTTCTAACTAAATATATATAATAAAATTGACAATTCTCTTACTAGTAAAACACAACACTGCTTGCAGCGATCAAGAGGCATTTGCTGCTACCTCTGATAAATAGTGCCAATTATTAAACAATTTTGCTTAAACATATTTTCATCAATCGAATTAATTATTCACTTGTGCTTTTGAACTGTGCTTTTAAGTTTGTCAAAGTTTGCACCAGAGAAGGTTTCCACCTAAAACAAGTTTAAAACATCAGTTCCCTGTTGTCACCATTTTTAAATTATATCTGAATTTAAAGGGATACATACCACTTTACCACCTTTGATAAACACAAAGGTAGGCATACTGGTGATATTATATTTCTCAGTAATATCTTCACATTCTTCTATATCTACTTTTAAAAATATAACATCGGGCATTTCCTGTAATAAAAACAAAACAGTGTTTAACAAATGATACTCAGTCTTTATACTCTGTAATTTCAAATGGAGTAATCAAAAATTAATGGCTTACATTTGCCAACTCTTCAACTCTGGGCGCAATCATTTTGCAAGGAAAACACCATACTGCAAAAAAGTCAATAACAACTAATTTGTCACCGGCACCCTCGAGGGTCTTGTCCAACTCGTCCTGTAAATAAATTAAACATTATCAAATTTATATCTTATCAATTCCGTTAAATTTTTCTTATGGTATTGGTACTTATGCACTACAGTACATGACGCAAGGTATATTATAGCTGATAACTAACATGCCTGTGATAAGAGATATACCAGTCATCGGCTGATAAAATTTAGATTAATATACTGGTTATAGTTTAGTTTAAGTTTGATGATAAGAAAATATATACGAATACATAATAATTGCAAGTTAAAAAAACAAATTTCCTTCCTCTAAAAGATAGGTAACATTAAAATGAATTCCTTAAAACATATGAAATTACAGTAAAACAACTCTAGTTGTCACCTAATTATTTTTTAACCGTTTTCCACGATGCTGGTGTTTATGGAATAATCATACTACTTCAGTCAATTAAAATATGTTTATTTGATGAGCGCAGTTGCAAGATGCTCTTAGTCACGGAAAATAATTCCAATGCCGCTAACCATGCGCATCTACACGTCAATTGAAATTGTTTATAACTGACATCATTCTTTGGAACGCTATATTCGAAAATGATCATTACACAGATATATGTGCCGCGGCGCTGCAGAGCCGGCACAAGTTACTGTACCGTTCGCAACAGTAATTGCACTTGCTTCTGAAGCCCATTTATTGCAATACCAGGAAAGTTCCACACGAAATAAACCGACACACAATCGATTCACTCAAGGTCAACTAGGTTTCGCAGAAAGTATGATATAATCGAGCGGACCACGCTGGGGCCTAACGCTAGTATACCATTCATTCCATGGTTCAAGCTAATTAAAGCAGATGTTCTCAACGTGTTACTTAAAATTCCGAAATTGTGTTGGAAACGCGATAATAATGTATGGTCCAATGTTAATTGGATTACTTACGGAACTCTTGATCTGGACGACCATTTTTACAACCTCCTAGGAAATTGGTTCGTTTCTGAATAAGCACACGTAGCGTTGACTCGACCGTTCGGATGCCTGCCTAACGACTGCGCGCTGTGGTCACTATGAATCTCACAGTAGTTCCGTCTCTCCCTCTTCCGACTATTCCGTCACGTCTTCCCTTTCCCTTGTCCATAGTTCTTTCTTTTTCTTATGCTTGAATTCTTAGAACAATGACGCAATTGAATGCACGGTATATAATAATGCAATGCGTTGTTATACATAATAATAATGCCGATAATAATAATAATAATAAACCAATAATATCCAAAAGATTTTGTCACACGCATAATTTCTTAGAAATGTTTTTGAGAGTAACTGACCTTGACATGAAACTAGTGTGAGTCATGCAGTCCACCTAATTTGAAGAAAGTCGATATTTGACCGAAAAAGTTACTTTAGAATGCAGACGTATTTATTCCCAGAAGAAAGATACGCAATGGCATCAATGTGGAGTGTCACAAAATTTAATTAAAACGCTGATTCATTATGATTTCACTCGTAATGGTGTCATACTTTATGAAGTTTTGTGATCATTCGTCTTGAATATTTTACATAAAATTTTTTCATTGTAACATAAAATAATTTTATCGTTATGTTTCATTAAGTTATCCTCTTATATTGTACGTTCATAAAATATTTCCATATGTAGAGTACACGGATGACTTCCTGTTGGCAGGACAGTATACGAAAAGTAGTTAATGTATTATAATATAACAATAAATTGTTACTTATTCTCAACTATTCAAAGTCGTCTGGTATAGTCCATCCTTCATGGAACATGGTATTGTACACACCTTGCTATTTTATTCATTACAACATGTGTCTACTCTACAACATAACATTGGTTTTATCGACTTACACCGCCAGTAAAGTTCTAAACCGGAAGTGATTGTGGTTGACGATAAAAGCGTCCCCATTTGATTGAGTATCATAATTACATTACACATTTAGGCTAATTGATATAAATTACTCTCCTCAGCATCACATTTTTCATTTAAACCTTTCTCTGCTAAAAATGTTACAAACATTTTTACAAACCTCATGAATATTGTTTTACGAGCAAATTAAATATGATATCTAATCACCTTTATCAAATCATTGCTCTATATTTCGCGTGCCAATGTGGAAATATGGAATCATACGACGCAGTGGCACTGCCGAGCAACGAGTACAATTATTTCCATACTCGGTGTCCACTGGAATGACACATTTTCAACGACGTCGGTAACACAGATCCGCCGGCAGAAACCTGCGTTACCGGTAAACGATAACGCAATGCCAACCGACACTCGTGCAAATAGGTAAATATACTTCAAGGGGCATTACAAAAAATCAACAGTCTCGTGGTTCCTATCACTCATGTGCATCGATACCAATGAATCCATACAAACACCAAGTATTTTCAACAAGAAAAAAAGTCAGAAAATCCACGTGTATTAACATCAGAGTTCATTACCAACAGCGGAATTCGTATCGCGTGCTTTTCGTGGTGCTCGTATTGATCAGAGTTCTACATAGTTAATGGAATATCGTTCTAACAATAGTATTCGATCGATACGTTAATGTTTATCGAACGGCGCCGTTAGCTGGTTGGCAATTATTATTAACAATGAGCATGACCGTCAGAAACATCAATCTCATCGAGCTTCTAATCGTGTAGTTGTCAAAACGTACCGGGACGTAGCCGACGAGCGCGCAGACTCGCCGAAGACGCCAAACGTTCCGGTCAGACACGAGACGCGGTGAGACGAGACGAGACGAGACGAGACGCGACGCGACGCGACGCGACGCGACGGAACGTAACTGCGTTGCTAAATATAATACGCGAAGGCACGCGATTCCTTTACGGCCGGGGGCAGCAGAACGGTCAACAACATCCGCGAGCAGAAACTTCGTCCTCGGTAGTGATCTTGTTGTCGCCGTCCGATCGTGGCGGTTTATTGCGCGCAAAACACCGGGACCGTAGAAGGCGAACAGTCGCAAAGTGTCGGACCAGTGGGGAACAGCGTCTGAAATAGGCTCGGCGGTTCCTCGATACCTAGCGAGTGAAGATTTCCCGCGGGCGAGTCTGCACATGTTCCGTGTGTCCCGTCGATGTTGTCTCCCTCACGTGATAACCGGCTGAATTATAGGTGAGACCGATCGTAAATCACCGCGTGTCACTTCGCGAGTCGTCACTGAGATCACGGCCGAAGACTAATCGAATCGGAGACCTAACATCCGCGATATCTTTCTCAATCTGTATACCTTCGAATCTGAACTCGATAAAAAATACCGATGATTATTCACCTGTCATCGTCACCGGAGTCGACGTTCTATTTACAACAGTTGTTGCGCGAGGCTTCGGACGGTATACGTTTGTTCAGCGATTCGCGTATTCGTTACGATCTAATTTAACAGGATCAACAGTCGCGTGACCGGTTCCTCTTATTCTTAGCGATCGCACGAACGGATTCTGGACGGCATAAACGTGCACGTTGTTATCGACCTTCGCGCGGGTCACGGAGCCAGGTAGCCCCGTGATTCGATCGAACGAGGCTGCATCGGTTCCTGGCCGAGACGCAGAGGAAAGGAAAAAAGGAATACTCACCCGCTTCCAATTATTTTGCGTCCTATATACGCGAGCTGTTTCGGACTCGCCAAGAAGACTCCGGCTCCACCGAACATCTAAATATACTTACCCGGTTATCTAGCCATGTCGGATAATTCGCGTGGAGTGTACAGGCGCGAGACCGATCGACACGCGTCGCGTTGCCATCCCATAATTCGTTGGGACGGTGGCGTTGCCGTGTGATGTAACGGCCTGCCGTTCTTTCGACGCGAAACAATGACGGCCGCACGCGACCATTATTTCGGGCAGCCCTTCTCGCGGCCGTTTAATGGATTAGGGGAGAAAATCGTAGCGCAGCCATAGGCGACATTCGTAGAATTCGCCGATCGATAAGCCGCGCGTCCAACGGCGGACCGTTTCGCCGACGCTGTTCGTAAATACGGCCGTGCCGGATTGCGTTTCAACGTGTCTCGGGTGCTCGCTATTTTATTGTGTCGCGCGGCTGCTCCCATAGATCGGATTTCACTCTGGAACTACCAGACGTCAGCTTCGTTGCCCGGCGAAGCGGAGAAGTAAAAATAAAAATGCTGTGCTCGCGGTTTACCGTCGTCGACGTACTTATATAATTGATTCCCTTCGCAATTTTTTCTTTTTTTTTTGTCTATGCAGCTTGACTGACGAACGTGGATCTACCGTGTTTCGCGAAGGAAAAGATCACGCGAAGTCTCTGCGAATCGGAGATCGGTCTGAGAGATTGCTCTGAAAGAACATTTTGTATTCTTTTGTTGTGCCGCAGTTTGGCCTGTTGAAGGAACGTTACACGAGTATCGTACGTACCAGGAACTGTGTCCAAGAGTGTCGAGGGAATAAGACAATTGGATTAGCTGCGCTCGATCCACGGAAATGAATATCCAGAAGCCCGAGGGTCTTTTGTCAGTGGTGTTACCTACTGAACTAGCGTCTTCGCCTAGCTCGCGACAGCTCATTATAAATCAAGACCAACAGGTGCGTTCGACACAAATAACCCTTTTGTCTTCTTCTTTCTCTTCTTCTTCTTCTTCTTCTTCTTCTTCGCCCTTCTCTACCGTCTGCCACTATCACTATATACAGTGCATTGTGTTCGCTAACCTTTTAAGCATGCAATTCTGAACAGGTTCGCTGCCACCGGTAGTACACGCTGCCATTCATAAATCATCGGATTGATACCGTATAGAACAATGATATTTTAGGAGAGCTGTTTTGTATACAGTTTCGTGCACTCGAGCGGTGACTCTCGCCACCTGATTTCATACAGTAAAATTATAAAATTATAAAATTTGATATTTAATACTTTGCACTCGAGAGGTGACTCTCCAATAGTTCCGTCACTTAATGTATGAAAGGTATTTCTTTATATTAATTGTAAAAAATACCATTGATATTTCATCAGAAAATAAGAAATATTTGTCGCGAAAAATATTCTCGAGTGCAAAGGGTTAATAGCATAAAAGGGTGAACACAATGGAACGTCGAGGATTTGTTTAATGCATTACGATTTCTATCTTTGAAACGACAAAGCGACGACGGTTTTATTCAGAGAGATTGATGTTGGTAATTGTTTGTCGTTCGATAGGACGAGGAAGCATCGGATTGTCCACTCTTGACGCCCAGCCCACGGAATGACGCGCTCGAGTCCGGCGCGATTTTCGTTTCCCTGGAAGGAAACCCCGTGGAGTCTGTTCCTCCGCCAACACTCGACAATATTAATAAGGAGGATGGGCTTAGCGAGTTCATGAATATTGTGAACAGCTCGAGCCGAGCTCTGAACGATGGTAAGCCACCTTCGGTAGACCCAACGCATTCTGCATAATTGCATGGACCATAATGCTGATTGGACGCTTTTCATTACATTTATACCCTAAGCGTGGAGAGTGTATACGGTACGTTCCGTCAAACATACATAGACACCAACTAGATGCCGATAGTTTATTTTTTACGAATAACAGTATTTTTGCGAAATAGGTTTACTAAGTGTTCCCGCATCTCCAACGCTCCATGCGAATTCCAACGCTACAGTATTATCTCCATAGTCAAATACAGAGTAACGCAAAGGACCGCTTAACAATGATCATCGAAGATCGTATAACGCCGTATATTATTAACCCTTTGCACTCCAGAGGCGCCTCTAACTCACTAAATTATTTGATTTATTATTTGAATTTAAATGATGATGAAAATAGTTCTCTGTCTCAATGCATGTGAGATTTCTTAATTCCATCTAAGAAAATGTCTGTATCTCATTGAAAAATATTGAATATTTCCGGTGAAGAACTTCTGGAGTGCAAAGGGTTAACGCTAGGTTTACGGACATTTATTCTAGAGTTTATTCTATTGTTCCTGGGGAAGTTGATATTCGTTCATTTAGATTTTGGAAATTGTAGACGTAGAAATAGACAATCAGGATTCACATTCGTGTAATTGTTTCAACGAAAACTGATTGAAACATTTACCAAATAATGTTTATAAAATTCAATGTACATCAAGTTGACGCGTTCCGTAACCCCAGTGTTAAATGTCACAATGAAAAAGTTGTACAAGACCGCGGCAGTATCCTGCGCGTCGCTGAACGTCACGCGAAACGTTTCATTATTCGCCGAAGTTACGCAATAGCTAAAAGTCGTACGCAGAGTTCTTCTGGGAACAATAAAACGGCTTAATTGGTTCCACTTACACTTGGAGCGACGAATTAATTTAAACGAGGTCCGGCCGTCGAATCACGCCGCGTGTTTTCGCGTGGACGACGATAGGCGGCCGTCGATGATCGTCTCATGCCGCGACCGCCGTTGCGACACAGCCGCGCGAGCTTTAACATCGATACGCGGCTGTAAAAGCCCTAGTCGCACGTGATCATGGTCATTGAAGACACGTTGTTTATTGCAGAACCAAGTTCCCGCGACCCGATGGTGGAGTCGACGAGCAGCGGCAGCAGCAGCGACACGAACGGCCCCGTCTGCGCCCAGTTGTTGACACAACTGAACACAGCGTACCAACATTTGGCCCCCGATGCACAGGCGCTGGTGAGCACCCCAATGAAACTAACCCTTAACCACTGTAGACGTGAACACTCGTGGAACCACTGTAGGATTCGCAGACCTCTATGGTTCATTGCGGTTATTTAACACTAAAACTACCAGAGGGGTCGAATGACCCATGATGTCTTCTTTTTGCAACTATTAGAAAGGTAACAAATGTTTCTCTGAGAAATTATTCAAGAAATTCATTTACTACGCAAATTGAATTGTAAATCAATGAAAGTCTGAACACTCTTGGAGTTTCTATAGCGAAATTTTCAGAAGTCGATTCAAGTCGGTAGTTTTAGTGTTAACGCTTTACCTACCGGCTTGCTGAAAGAGGACACGTTATTCGCGTAATTCGCCGTTCACGAATTCGTTAAGGAAGGTATTGAAAATTTGCATAATAATAGGTTGTCACTCCACTCGCTTGAAGATCGTTGTTTGCCGAAATGTTTTTGTTTATCAGTTTCTACCTGTCCGTTGGTGTTCGTCTTGTTTCGTCCATGGCCGATAACAGTTTTACCTTCGATCTAAATGCGTCGAGTACAGTTACGTCTACGTGCTTGATGCTTCACGGGTACATGAAATGATCTTAAAGTTTCCTTTTTAAAAATGAACACGTTTATTCCCCCAGTTCGATCTCTGGAGTTACTGAAATGAATATTACACCATTGAACAGGGACACGAGTAAAATATTAATAACATTTTTAATGTAGGTATTCTACAACGAAGACAATGCTCAATCTCACTGATGCGACTAAAAATATTTACCGAAACCCAAACACATTTCGTGTGTCGTTCATTTTTGATAAATAATTTCTAGCGGTGCGTTAATTGTAAATAATATGGATGCAAAGAAGTATAGTGTGGAAATAATCCTCGTTTCTGGTAGATAGTTGGCACCAAAACCACCGTTGAGGATTATTTGTAGTTGTATGAATCCAAATTGGACGATTTAAGTAAAAATAGTTCATTAAAATAACTCGTCCTGTTTTTATAAAGAACAAAATTGTTAAATATAAATCGTAGTGCAACCTAAGCACTTTTTATTTCATTGACAAATGATTTGTACGAATCAAACTATGATTATTATACGCATGATTGAATACTCTATGAGATTACAGAGATTTCCGAAGAAAATTTCCTGAAAATAGGATTAATCGCGCGGAAAAAGTATCGATCCTGGTAGATAATGAGAATTGGACTTTCAACAATTCTAATTATAACGCAACAATTATGTTGTCGGGTATTTCTTGTTTCTGCCATAAATCAGCGCCATTGTCTGACTACCTCATTGCAAAACCCGGTTTCAAGTGACATTGGCCCGCGTTCCATTAGACCCGCTGAATAAGTTGATTTCGCGTGACATCGTCTGCTTAATGATTAACTGCATCGAACTTCCATTTGCAAAGTTAATGCGTCGATTTTTGACCGCTGTATTCAGAATAATATTTCGATCTGCTTGGCACAAACGAGAAGGACCTTGCCAACTGCTGCGCGCCATTGCCCCATTACGTCTGTGCTAATGTACTATTTTACGCTTAATAAACCAATCAAAATGAGATACTGTTGCCACATTATACCGCTTCATTCGTAAATAATCATTTCTCCGGTTGAGATACGTAAATCGAAGAATGAGAACGAAGAGCGAAAGCTGCCTGTCGATTCGTCGTTCACGGGGGAAGTCCGTTTTTCATTAAACAGATTGTATCGTCGGCGGCTATATCGCCGAGTCACTTGGTTGTCGAAATAAATTTCCTCTCAGCGCGATTTATGAAACTTCTGGCATGACGTACTTTCGCAACTCGCCTGTCATAAAATTAACATAAGTGTTCCGAATATGTTGATAATCGACCTTCTCTTGGAAATACAAAAATACACCGTACCTACGAGAGCCTTGGGCAAATATGCTTGCATACGGTACACTAATTTAACTGCTCAGAATTAGAATAGCTGGAAATAATCGCCGATCACAAGAGTACCTCGGTGGAAGGAAAATTGTCCATGGTGGTGGTGTTCTGTGCCAGCCATGCCTTAATCTACATGTCCGCTAAACCATCCGCTTGTGCTTGCTAACATCATGATGAACTTTCCCTGTAACTGTTTAGTTTTACAATCAGGAGAACGGAGGAAAGCCACCCTTGGTCGGAATTCAGCTGGTGGTGCCGAAGCCTCCGAAGGATTACCGCTTCATGAAATGGAATTGGCCGCTGATACGGAAGACGTGTTTCTGGTCGCTGATGTCGGTGCTAGCTGGCTGCATGGCGCTCGTCATCGGCATCATCGCCACTATGCCAAAGAAGTATGTCAAACCACTGAGATGTTTGTCAGACTGTATCCACATGTTTCTATTTGTATCCTGTACAAAATTATTAAACATTCGGAATAAACCTGTAATATGTATTAAAGCTCGGTTATTAGTATTACCATTAAATCTTGCCGTTGCGTCATCTATGATTTAAAGTACTATAAAATAAGCGTACATTCGGTGGACATATAACAGAAACTAGGTGTATTGAGCAGATGTATATATCATCATGAATGACGCAGGTGCGACCCCCGAGTACAATGGTGGCAAGGCAGCATCTTCTACGAGATTTTCCCGGCGTCCTTCCAAGACTCTTCGAAAGGCGGCGACGGGATTGGCGACCTGCGAGGAATAGTGATGCGTCTGGACTATTTGAAGAAGCTGGGCGTCAGAGGGATTCGTTTGAACTCTATATTTCCGGCGCCTCACTACCCCGAGTACTACATGGACATCGAAAGCCTAACCGACCTGAGCAAGGACCTGGGAACGCTGGAGGACTTCGCGATACTCGTGCGCGAGGTGCACCGACGGAACATGACGCTGCTCCTGGATCTCCCGCTCGACCCGTTCGTGAAGACCCTGTACGACGAGAACGTGGTGATCGAGAAGCCGAACAAAACGGACAAAGCGGTGCGCGAGAGAAAGGATGTCACCGGTGACGCTATCTTAGAGGACGCGGTGCCGACGACGCCGTCCATGTCGGTCCAAGCGATCAGGGACGCGCTGTCTTCGATACCGCCGGCCTTGGAGGGACCCAGGCAACAGGCTCTGACGTCGAATCACATAAGCGCGGTGATGGAGAATCCGGTCACCGCTGCGATCAGGACCTGGTCGCAGAGAGGGGTCGACGGTTTCTATCTGAAAGGGCTGGACCGCTACGTCAACGAGACGTCTTTCCCCAGCAGTCTGAGCCGTTGGAAGTCCATCATAGGGTTCGAGAAAATTCTCATTTGCCACGTGGACACCTTGACAGCTGCCAGATCCAATTCCGCGAGGGAGTCCATCTTGAAGAACATGGACCTTGTGGATGTCACGTTGCAATTTACGCATGGTGCCCGGGAGATCAAGAAACAGGTGGAAGAGATCACGAAGGGTGTGCTGTTCGAGAAACCAGATTATCCTTGGGTGCATTGGTCCATAGGCGGAATAGATTCCAAGAGAGTAGCCTCCACCATTAGCGTGAAGAACGCTACTATCGCTGCCTCTCTGTTGGGGATGATGCTTCCGGGGACACCGAGTATATTTTATGGAGACGAGGTACGGAAGGCGTTTGTTAGTGACTAGGTTAGATTTTTAAGGTCTTGCTGGGTTCACTGTTGATTGGTAATGAATAGAAGATGACCTTATGAATCCGATTTAATTGGAATCTGTGTTTAGATAGGTATATTGGACTGCGAGTGCGAAGATCACAAGGACCTTTCTCACGTTCACAACTTGCCTCCCATGTACTGGGATCCGAATGATGGTTCTGGTCATAAGTTCGCAACTATGGGAGTTACGACTTGGATACCGGAAGCTGACAAACCATTAGAGACAAGTTTGGTGGGGACGATAGCCGAGATGGCTAGGCTTAGATATGAAACGACTCCGATTTATGTTAAAGCGGTGCTGAAAGAGAACCAGGTGCTGGCCAACTGTGATGTTAGGTAACCTTGTATTTTGAATTTGAAACGTTTCAATGAAATGTTCGGTTCTCGTTGAAGATTTCTTTGTGAATGTTTAAAATGAAAATAATCGAAATATTTGTTTCCATAGGTTCGCAGATGATCAAATGATTGTAATAGAACGATGGTACCCACGACGAAACTCGTATGTCTTCGTAGCAAACCTCGGCAACCAAACGCAGACGAAGGACTTATCTTTCCTTTATTACGGAGGCCATGTTGTTGTTGGTCCCACGTCCAAGCTGAACCGGGACGTGTACTTCAAGCAACTGATCGTGTCTCCGGGGGAGGCATTTGTCATAAAGCTCGATAAATGAGGATTCCTCGTAGAATCACATTTCGCATAACATTCATTTTACATCCCATCGAGATTTTAACGTCTTTTAATTGATGTTTCAAGCGTGAATTCGTGGCGATTCGTTTGAAAACGCGTTATCATTGACGTTACGAGCGTTGTACAACGAAAGATTTCATGCGATAGTTCCTACTAAGTTTTAAACGAAACGCGTGAGGACGGAAGTGTCCATAAATGTTTCATTTGAAAAGGAACAGAAAGTTAGATCGAATGGAAACAGATTGCGATGTAGCGTGCAGACTACGGATATTTATGCAAGTCATTCTCATGGCTCGGAATTGTTTTGAAAAAATGTGTATCTGAATTTTAATGTACCAAGGCGTGAGTATAATGAATATTAATGTATTAACACGTGTCTGTTAATACATCTGAAGAAATCCGATACAAAGTTGAAAGCACCACGTATACACGAACAGTGGTTGATATTTATTAAATTTTCCACGTGATGGTTTTTAGCATGTCTATGCGCGCCATGAACGCATAAAATCTACAGTCTCGGTAATGAGAAGGACGACATTCTTGTTATCAAAAAGTGTTACGTAGTCTAGTGAAATGTGCTTGGATATAAGTGAAAAATCAAAAACGGACATTAAGATTAAACTGTGGATGTTCCATGTAAGTGTATTATATTAGACACTTGCGTGAGATACAAGTGCGTGAGATTCACAGTTTAATCCTTACAAAATCAAATTCATACACACCATTTGTTG